TTTAAGCGTGTAAGTGAATTATCTACTATTGGACGTGGGTGATATAGCAAAAATGTGACATCAAGATACTTCAAGAAGTTTTCAAGACATCACAATATTTAGTTGGAACAGACAAAGCAGTGCCACACTTAAAAAATTATTATCAAAATTAAATTCAAAATTCGAAATGAAATCCAATTGAATTAAACTAATGATGCTGTCTTTTTATTTAAACATACAATCGGGAAGTGTGTTTGATAACGGTAAATGTTGTCATATTGCTCAGCCTTATCTATGATTGTCATCATATCTTTATCAGTATAATGTTGATTTTGCGTTGGAGCTTTAAACATTGCAACAAACAGCCTAACAGGGTTCCAGGGCACGGATGCCATTTTTAGTGTTTTTTTCTCCTGACTTAGTAATGCTACTTATGTTAATTTTAACAAACATAAATTACATAGTGCTGCTTTAACAAATTTATCCATAAATTTATCCTTAATTGCCATCAAATAAGGTCTCAGAAGTTTTTCATCTGGATAAAGTACATAATGCACACTTCTTGCTGGTGACAACAGTATGAGAGACTAAAGTGTGCCAGAACAAAAACTGTTTAAGGCATAGCAGTAAGACTCCAGTCCTGGTGGGACACAGCTCTGCAGAGTTTACCATTCCTCATTAAACACTCCTGCTTCAATGAAGCAGCTAATTAGCAAGGCCTTTAGGAGTTGAATCAGTATGGCTGAGGGAATACACTAATCTCTGCAGGGCTGAGGCTATCCATAGTTTGACACCTCTGATTTAATAATAAAATTAGATGTATTATAAATGTAATAACAGAAAATTTAATAAAAGCTGGGAGGAAGAATAAAGAATGGCAAAAAAAGAAAGCAGCAGCAAATACAGGCCAAAGACACAGGCCATCAGTGGGTCTGTGGAAAACATAGAATGTGAAAAATGTGACAGATATTTGAGAAATGATGTCCAAACCTTCAGCATGAATAGCTGGATACAGTTAGGCTCAGACTAATATTTCACGCCCAGGTGTAGGGGTCTAACACTCAAAACAAGCACTAATGCCAGAGCTCTGTTTTCTTTCATTACAGACACATGAGCCTCTATAAACATTTGTCTATACAGGTCCTGGGAGGCCTTTCTCTGCGGTGACAGTCACAGGAGATGGGTGATATGACAGTCACGTTTGTAATGGATGTGCAGTTCACATACAGTGGCTCATTATTTGATTAGCTGGAAAATTGCCTCCTTTCACGTAAATGACTATAAATGAGTTGAATAAACGCCGACTCTCCCTTCAGCCTTTAAACGGCTTGCTAATCTCCGCCATTCACTGAAACCTGCCCTGTATATCAACAGCTATAATCCATCTGCAGCCAGCCAGAGCGAGCTGTTCGAGCCAGTGAAGGGCTTAACTCTGCCTCACTGCAGTGCTCCAAATGTCAAACTGCAAACAGAGCCGGAGATTATTTATTGTAACACTGCGGCCAGATGGCTAGCGCAGCGATCGGGCTAATAGTGGCCTCGCCATGCAAGCATGACTGCCTCAGTTCAATCCCTGAATGATAGGATTACTTAAAAAGAGCAGGTCCATGAGTGAGTGAGAGAGAGAGAGAGAGAGAGAGCGCAAGCACATTAATTTGCTTGTTTCAAATGTGTGCATCCGCTCCACATGAAAGTGTCTCACATCAACACTGTTATTGACAAAAGTAAGTGAAATCAAAGACATAAGTGTGTTAATGACAGTGATATATAACTTTGTATCGCGGAATCTTTACATTAGAAGCAAAAAATATGCTTAACTTTAAAGGGCAAATACAATGGAAAACTGAATATTCCTCACTTTTTTGAAGCAAAATAGTTTGATGTAGCATATAAACAATGTTTACCCTCCCATACAGTCCATATATGGAAACCAGGCTGCAAAAACAGTCTGAATCCATTGTTTTTGTGATGTCACAGAAAACAACACATTTACATATATTCACCTATTCAGCCTACAGCAATTTAGCTCCGCCCATTCAAGCTGAAGTTATAAGGAGTGTTTTAGCTTGGACTGCTTTTTGATTTGAATGAGGCACAATACAGGGCAGCCAATCAGAACAGAGCTCATTCACATATATGAGTCTTAAAGGGACAGTAACAAAAACAGCCTAATTCTAAGTGATAATGAGAGGTTTAAAAATGGACATGTAAAAATTAATTATGTTTTTGGTACGTAAATGCATAGAATTGTCATGAATGGACAATAAGGGAGAATAATGAAGCACAAGGAAAATGTACGATATGGGCGCTTTAATGTGTGTTAATGCAACAAGCTTATATTTAGTCATTTTGGACCATTTCTATCATTCCATTTGTCATGAAATGTTCTGATAATGTTTATGGCAGTGATTGCAAGTGGTATAAGAAACAAAAGTGCTAGCGGTGATATTTTATATTGTTAGAATAATTTAAACGCATTACTATTTTTGTAGCAGCATTGGCAAGTAGGCAAAAATAAGCCACCTTAATTGAACCCAGATTAAATTCTCAATGATCCAGTGTTGCATGACCTTGTAGAGCACAGATCAGTCCTTTGGCACAATCTCAAAATCAGCATGTTAGAGAGAGGCTGATAGTGAAGATATTGCGACATGCTGTGCGCTCTGCATGGCATTGCCGTTGGACGTTGTTGGAAATGCTGTCGTTTTTCTGTCCTTGAGCTCTCTGATCTGATTCTTTCCTGTTTTCCTGGCCGCAGCTTTGGTGCAGACATGTTTTCGAGCAATGGCTGAAAGCGATGGCACCCAGCGCATGGCTGATTTGCCTTTTTTTGGCAACACTAGACCACTATAGCTTTATGCTTCATTTCTAAATTGCTGCTTTCTTTAGATGCAGTCTCTGGCACTCAACAATGCTCTCCATCCTACTGAAGTACACTCAATAAAGAGAGTGCGTATTGTCCAAAGACAATATTTAGCTTAGTGTATTCAAGAGGATTACAGTGACCTGACAAGCCAGAAATAACTGACAACATCTAAATTTTAATATTCAATTAAGTTACAGTCCTGTTTAGTTAAATATTAGTATTTTATTTTTATTATTAAAATTAGTAAAAATTAGTATTTTAAATTTGTATTTATTTTTCAGCATCAGGAAAAAAAGCAGAAAATATGCAACAGAAAATTACACAGAAGCCTCAAAACCTAAATATAATATTATTTTTTAAAGCATTTAGTGTGTCCAGTCTTCAGTTGGCCTTCATTACTTCATTTATATATATATACACACACATATGTACACACACACATACACACACACACACACACACACACACACACACACACACATACACACACATATATAGTATATATCTATATATATATATATATATAATATCTATATATACTATATATACATACACACACACACACACACACTATTATGAATTAAAAAAGGTCAGCAAATGTGAACAGTCTCTCACAGACAGTAAAAAGCAAACACACGTTGTGATACTCTCTCTCTTTCACACACACACACACACACACACACACACACACACACACACACACACACAGATTTCACATTAATGTCAGGACGGGTGGGCACAGTCAGGCTCAGATGTAACTGGCACAAACAGGCCAGAGTAAGAAGGCTACCAGGGTGGTCATACAGAGCAGATGTGCGGGGGTGGGGGATGTTTATGTATGAGAGTGGACTGCCGTGAGTTGATAGAGCGGTGATAGGAAACATTGGAACTCCTGTCATGACACTGATGATGGGACAACAATGAATGTAATTAGTCTGTGTGTGTGTGTGTGTGTGTGTGTGTGTGTGTGTTAAATGCTCATTTGTCTCTCCAACCCTCGTATTAATGTCATTCATTTCACATGGAAACAATCTGCTTCCTACTGACAGCAGAGTAGAGAAGCACAGAATAAAACAGCAGAAAGAGATGAACCCATGATGGAGTTCTGTGTCTTCATTAGATTAAATCAGTCAAGTTAGTTTGACTTTGTCTATAACATTTGGATAAACAGGTTTGGGTATGGGCAGGTTTTTGTGGACATGGATTAAGCCCAGTCTTGGAATAAACTGCAATATCAGCTGTTTTACCATTTACAGTCCTATTTATTCTATGTTTAGGTGTAATCGCGTCTGGGAAGCCACCTCTGTACAGCTGTATGCAAAATGTTAAATTATATGCTTTGTTGATTTTATAAGTGAAAAAAAAAACTTTAGTTACAGAGAACACACTGAAATATGGCTATTTCTAAACAATATTTGTCGACGATTTCTGTTTATTTGCTGAGTTGAAATGTGCAGAAGTGTGTTCTCCATAGGGGATGTGTTAAATTATTTTCACTTAGAAAATCAAGAATTTGACCAGGCCCCCAAACCTCTGCATTTTGCACAATCGTGTGCTTATTGTTGGTTTTAAGAAAAAAAAAAACTTTGTATCTTTGTTTTTCTTGTTTTGTTTCTTATTTGAAATTTGCAAGTCCTTTACATTGTGTGTGAAATACAACAAATCAGTCTTATATGCTATGTAAATATGCAAATAGATATACTTTTATTCCTATTCCCTCATACTTTAACTTGTCTTTTTTATATTTCCGCCTAATGTCTATTTTTATGTCTATTTTTATCTCTGCCTAATGTATGTAAGTGCAATATATCTCTCCATCTATCTATCTACCTATATATCCATCCATCCATCCATCCATCCGTCCATCCGTCCATCCGTCCTTACTTCATAATGCATGGACAAACTGAAATGGTCCAGAAATACTTCAGAAAAAAGTTAAAAATGTTTTGTTGTTCTCCTGAAAAAAATACTATTGTGGAAGTACAAGGTTTTGTTCCGATAGTAACACTACAAAGAAAAAAGCAGTTCTGAGTATTGTTAGTACTGTTATCCGTTGTAGTCAAATGCTTCATGACTGCACTAAATCTAAGTGGTTTGTGATTGTCAGCAGAACCACAGCAAAACACTCAAAACACGTTCTGTTCTTCCTTTACAGAGATTATGAATGATGTGATCAAGAAGGTGAAGAAGAAGGGAGAATGGAAGGTAAGACTCATACATTCTTGAAGAAAACTACATGTTGCATAATTAACAGTGTCACAGTGTAAATTAGGATAAAATGGATTTTAAAAATCTGCATTCTGAAGAAAAATTAGAAGCAATACTATCTATACAATCTGAAGGCACAACTCTGCAAATGTACTTAAGTACTATAAGTGATATCAATGCATGTCACGGACTGTAAGAAATCTGTATAAATGGTAGCTAAGCCAGGAAGATTAACGATAATGTTCTAACTGCATTGCACCAGTGACATACTTACAATATTGTTCAGCTAGAGATGGCATAATACCACTTTCCTCTTCCTGATATGGATACTGAAACCTTGAGTATCAGCCAGTGCTGATATTTCTTTTACAAAATACTAAGCTTTAAAATTAGCTATTTTTATTAGATGAACTTCACTTAACATGAGCGTCTGAGTAATAGCTCAAAATAAAGTAACCAAGTTAGTTTTCCCTTCTCAGCCCCCTCTTACATGTTTACACTAAATATTGTGTGTGTATTTCACCTGTCTGTGTCTTTTTAGGCTCTGGTAGTGGATCAGCTGAGCATGAGGATGCTGTCCTCCTGCTGTAAGATGACTGACATTATGACAGAGGGCGTCACAAGTATGTCACCCTGCTCTTCTTGACACTTCTGTGTTGCCATACACATATATAAACATGATTCCTGAGCTAAAACTAGAAATATGAAATTAGCCCTTAAACAGTTTGCCTTTCAAGTGATAGTTCGGGGAAAGATCAAATTTACCCCTATCGTATAGTTAAACAAGACATGTTTGGTGTACAGAGCTTTTGCTTCTTTAATTGGGCAAGCATAGCTGTCATGTAATGTGTCTGAAGTCCGAGTCACACTAGGATATTGCACTTCAAGGTGTGGAAGAATAAATAAATTATTGCACTAAGGTGGGAGGGGGGCCAAAAATAAATAAAGGAAACAGTCACATATATTATTGCACTTAAGGGTGGAAATATAATAACAGAAAAAGTCACAGTAGTGCTGTTTTTTCCCCCCGTATTTTGGGACTGTATAAATTAAATTTTTGCCAAATGAGCAGTCTAATGAGAATCTCCTTTGCTTTCTCTCCATTTTACCATGTAATTCTCCCCCACTTCAGTCGTTGAGGACATAAACAAACGGAGAGAGCCGCTCCCGACCTTGGAGACCATTTACCTGATCACTCCCACTGAGAAGGTATGAGCTACAAACATGTACACTTGCAAAGCAGCACCTTGGAAGAAAAAAAAAATCAAAATGAACAATAAATACAGACGTGCAGAAGCACATAATGAGTCAGACTGATAGAGCAAACACACAGCCAGGCTCCATAGCGCTGCAGCTCAGAGCTGTACGTCTTTTCACACCCTCTATCTTTAGTCACTCAGTAGGGACGCCGCCTGTTCACACGGCTCACACCGACCATATGTCACACGCTGTATGAAGCAGCACATCACCAAACACAGTATTGACTCAGCCTACGCAAAACAACCTCCGATTTTGCATTAGCATGGCTGCTATGGCAACATGAGCACACACGCATATATGCACATCTATGCAACCCTCATGTTCTTGTATGTCTTTTTCCAGTCTGTGCGGACCCTAATCGGCGACTTCAAAGATCCCCATTCATCGAAATACAGAGCAGCTCACGTGTTCTTCACTGACTGTGAGTATCAGAAGACACTGTTGTACATTAGCGTAGAACTATGGACAGAGGTGGGCAATATGATAGTATGTTATCATTATCATGATTATGCCACAATGCTTTTATAAGTATATTGTGGGTATCTTCAGTACTACTAGAACTCTGAACAGTGTATCATAAAAAGGCCAATTGAAGAGATCCTGTGAACAATAACCACTGAATAAGCTGCAGTGTAACAAGTAGCCGACTAGGTGTCAGCCCACATATTTCATTTGATTCATTTTCCTCTTGTTCCTTTCCTAAATTGTTTATTTTTGCAAACCGTGAATAAACAATAATAATAGCGTTTTTACTGATAGCCTTTTCAAAATGTGACTCTACTGTTTTGCAATGTTCATTCCAATTTATTTCAGAATAAACTCATTTTTGTGATACACGACATAAGATCTTCAAATATTGTTTTAGATATTATGCTGTATGTTAGATTTGTGCCATATTTCCCAACCTTAACAACCACCCACTACCAGTATATCACATTATCAGTAAAGCTCCCACAGTGAAAGACGCAAAATTCTGTTTAATTTGTTACTTAAAAACTGCTATATAATAAAGTGGCCTTGTATATCATCGTACACAATATACAAGTACAAAACTACCGTGAACATATTAGATTTCAGTAAGCTGGGACGTAATTTAAGCAGTGCTGATAAAGAAGGTGTTCTCTGAGCTCTGTTTTTGATCTGCAGCTTGCCCGGATCCCTTATTCAACGAGCTGGTGAAGAGTCGGGCTTCCAAGTGCGTCAAGACCCTGAATGAGATCAACATTGCCTTCCTGCCCTACGAGTCGCAGGTGAGAAACAAGGAAGACAAAAGAATAATCTGACACTGGTAAATTTTAAAACATTGAGACATTGAAATGTCTGTTTGTGCACTGTGCACAATATTATACACTCTGTACTTTCATTTCTAGTAGATAGATTTTTGTCTGGTCAGATTGAACATGAACGTTTTGTGCTAAATGAAAATGGCTTGAATCACGCCTAGGTTAGTAGCTAGCCAAAATTAGCCAGCTAAAGCTAGATATAACAGTCTGAGCCTTAGACACTCGGTCCACACATACTCAGAGTGACAGATACCTTTTGCACATTTACCTGGCCACAACTGTAAGCATTTTATTAGATGCATTCTGGTTGGCTCTCCCCAAATCTGTGTGATTGGGTTTCTGATGGGAAACAAATTTTGCAAGCTTACTTTCTGGATTGATAAAGATTTGAGAATTTTACGGCATCACGTTTAGAAGTTCTGGATTTTTCTTTGAAGAGTTTAGTAGTCAGTAAAAGAGATATGCTCATGTGTTGTAGCCCTGTTTTAAACTGCTTTGCCATACACATCAAACAAAAACAATGGCTTGTTGTTGGTTACTTTGCATGTGAGTCAAACGGCCCTTTCCTGTAAAAGAAGGCTACCTGGCCATTCTGATGATGGGCAGAAGTTTGGCTTGCAAGTTACTGAAGGCTCACTTGCATAAGAAATTTGGAAAATTTCAAAAGCAGCCCCTGATGGCTCCACTTATGGCAGTCTGCGGCTGCAGAGCACAAGCAGTGTGCAGCATTCCACACTTGCTACCTGCATTAAAATGGCTAGTACACAATGGAAATGCTCAGTTTAAAGGGAGGAAGTGCCAACCTAGTAAACTACGTATTCCACAATGGAGGTAGCATGGCATGATAAACAGTATTTCAGAGGAAGATGACTTCAGGTTGGGTGGCAATGAGGGAGAGTAAAGCAAAGACAAACAGATGCACAGCAACTGACTGAGAGCTCATTGACGAGCCTCTCTTTGGCCACATATATAGAGTTCCAGAAGAGCTCTGAGGCTGGAGGGGGAATGCAGGCAGTGTGGCCCACAATGCTTTGCTGCTGATGCTGTCTGCAATGATTAATTCAGTGGAGTCAGAGGAGCTGTGCTTTGCTCCTGGCGTGATGCTGCAGCTTTGCAACCTCACTCGGACCCGCCTCTTCAGAGCCGCCCTATTGGCTACCGCAGCATCCGCACCCACTGACCGCCAATCATAAGAGGTTATGAGGGGGAGTCGGCGTCAAGGGGAACCCATCTGCTGAACAGAAGGATGGTCATGTGACTGTGCAGATGGGGGAAGGGGCTGGAGAAGGAGCAGAGAGAGGAAAGACAGAAAGAGAAAGGAAAAGAAGTGGAGAGAGGAGAGAGATATGGCAGGGAAGGGAGTGCAGGAAACACAAAGGCAGGAAGGAAAAGCTGGAGACTCACTCTGTCACTGTGAGTTGGCCGTCAGAGCAAATCACTGCCACTAAGAGAGAGAGTGGGGAGAGAGAGAGCAAGAGAAACAGAGAAAGAAAGTGTTTTCAGGGTTTTTTAACTATGCAATTGATAAACTAGTCTCCAGTAGGGATGTGATGGTTAACAGCTGTAATATGGTACTGCAGTCAAAACCAAATGATGATACCATTTCAGATCTTAAGAATTTTGATAACTACGTAGCATCACTGTCTTTTTTAGAAAGTGGAGGTCAGTCTCTCTGCAAAGCATGTGCAAGGACTAGAGGTTTGAGACCCAAACCAACCTGGTCCGAATGGTACTGCTAAATTTGAACCCAACTGAACCCGACCTGAAGCGGAATCAGAGATGGATTATCCCAGACTCTGAATGCAGGTGTCAACAATACTAGAAAGAGAGAAAGAAAACAAGATTAGAGATTAGAAAACAAACCCGGGCCTGAAAGTCGTGAAAAACCATTATATATATATATATATTCAGTGAAGTCAGAGGAGCTGTGCTTTGCTTCTGGCGTGATGCTGCAGCTTTGCAACCTCACACAGACCCGCCTCTTCAGAGCCGCCCCATTGGCTACCGCAGCAATTATATATGTGCATATATATAATTTTTTCCATATTTTGCTTTGCTACCCGACCAATGACTGGGTCAGGTTCAGGCCCAAGTATATATGTGTGCGTGTATATATATATATATATATATATATATATAATATATATATATATAATATATATATATATATATAAACATATATATTACTTTTAATATAAGTCAGTGGAGCCAGACTTTGACAATTATTTTGGTCCACTGATCATAAAATTTAAGCACAATGTAAAGGGCAACAGGCATTTTCAAATTATGTCAAAAACTGAAAAATGGAGATATAAGGTTTTGTTCCGACAGCAGCAATATACATCTTATTCATTGGTATGTTGGAACAATGCTGGTGATAATTTACATTTATGTATTTAATTGCAGATGATTTTTCATGTCTTGGTGGTATTAATAAAGGCTTGTCAATATAATATGATTTCAATGTGTCTCACAGCTTTTTATACATTTCCAGTCCAGTGTAATACTGCACTAATCTATACTGCATATTGCAGTGACACTGAAACTGTGACCAAATTTTGACCTTATGATTATTATTGATATTATGTTGTTTTGCACTGTTCCATCCCTAATGTCCACTTTGCAGTCCAGCTCTTCATATACACAATAATAACATATGTTTGTGTAATAAGCATGTGCTAATAAATGTGTGCATTTCTAGGTGTTCTCTCTGGACAATCCTGATGCCTTCCAGAGTTTCTACAGCCCACACAAGACCCAGATGAAGAACCCAGTGATGGAGAGGCTAGCTGAGCAGCTGGCTACTCTGTGTGCCACACTGAAGGAGTACCCTGCTGTGCGATACCGAGGGTAAGAGACATAGTGAAAAAAAAGGGTTGAGTAATTTTGTTAATACTAGCTTAAAGATCATCTTATACTATGATATATTTGGACAATACTGATATTGAATTTTATCAACACTGCTCAGCACCAAACATCATTCAATGGGGTGCTGTATCCTTCTGTTCCAGTGAAAATTTACCATAATTTTAAAACCTGAAAGTGACTTTATTCCATAAGATAAATATTTAAGCAGTGACTTGATTAAAGACAATTAAACAGTAACCTTAACAGGACCAATATGTAGTCATCAGCTCAATACTTGATTTTTCATGGCCATCCCTAATTTGTATGCTGCTTTAGTGCAATCCAGGAAGTTAAACCGTATTCATGAAGGCTTTGTAGTGGAGGTGATACAACTGGAGTGTTCACATTATGCAGCAACATATGAGTTCTTATCAGTTTGGAGAGTAAGAACAGGGGGGCTTATTCATTGTTATGTTGGAACACAGCCACTGGTCATCACCATGACTACAGTAAACAAGCACTGCTTATGCAGACTGCAGTCTAACTGCCTGTTTATCTATTTGTCTATCAATATAGAGAGTACAAAGACAATGCCACTCTAGCGCAGCTGGTGCAGGACAAACTGGACGCCTACAAGGCAGATGACCCCACAATGGGAGAGGTGAGTGAGAAAGATCTGTTGTTTCCATCAACACAATAAGCCTAACTAGAGGGTCGTTAGATGCTGTATGACGCTGTGGATATTATTGGGGGTTTAAATATCTGACCGCAGGACTATTGAGTTAGATCATGAGTCCTTAGGAGATTCAGAATGGTTTTTAAACAAGGACACAGTGCCACACAGAGTCAGTGATGAGGAGCACTGCTCTTATTAAGAGTGCAGACTGCTAATAACACCTCTAGTGGCGAATTCTTAGCCTGCTCAGCATAAGTGAGTGAGTGAGCGAGTTCCATAAACATTTAACACAGTATTTACACAGTAGTGTGGTAGCAATATGGACAATTAAAAACAATACACCAAGCTCTTTTGCTTGGGGGGGTTAATTGATAATAAAATTCCAAAACTAATATGGTTCATTTGCCAGCTTCAGATTGATGGGTCGATGCATTTTTACATCACTAGCTATTATTAATTGAATAGTATTCCCTGGGTTTTTCTGTCCACAGGGTCCAGATAAGGCCCGCTCTCAGCTCATCATTCTGGACCGGGCTTTTGACCCCGTCTCCCCTGTCCTGCATGAGCTGACCTTCCAGGCTATGGCTTACGACCTGCTGCCCATTGAGAACGACGTCTACAGGTGAGACACGAATGCTAAGATTGAATCATTAACTCACAAGAGAGACAGCAGACAATCATTCAAAAGTTTAAAATATAAATAATTAATATGTATATAAATATCTAGTTAGAATTGATCACCGTTTTTGGAATGTGAGACATTCTGGATTATTTTATTATAATTTATTATTTCTTTTTTCTTGATGCTCTACAGTCGTCTCATTCATTTTAGAATCATGTTCAGCACTAATCGTCTAAAATTTGGGGGGAAAAAAAGGTTTTTAAAGATTCTTACTTTCCTTCTGCTTTTACTTATTTGAAATCTGTGATGTTTCATAGGACTAGCATTTTATACATTTACAGTGCCGTGCAAAATCCGACCATGCTTCATTTATTTAATTTCCAGTAAAATGTCATTAGGTACAAGTTATTCATTTTTCAGCATTGGGGACAAAAACAGAAAACATATCATCGCTGTCCAAAAAAAGCAAGTATCTTCAAAATGGTAACTTCACAGGAGAGGGCAAAAACCTTCTTTACTTTCAGTGTAAGTTAATGTACAGATATTTTATACAAAGCATTTTAGAGCATTTCTATTGGTCCAATCATTGAGACATTTTCACACAATGTATAAAGCTGCTGTGCTCAAATTACGCAGAAAACTAAAAATCGCAAAAAAATGAAGATTTATTGGGTCCACTGTTTGCCTTTATTAGAGCTTCCATTCTTTTTAGCAGACTTGCTTTCAGCTTTTCAAAGAAATCTGCAGGGATATTTCCACACCTCCAAAGTTCAGTCTTACAAGTTTGCTGCGTTTTCTGCTTCTCACAATACACTGAGCCATGTTGAGGTCTGGACTCTGGGATGGCCGGTCCATAATTCTGACAACACCAGAAACTTCTTTAATTTGCAGATTTTCTATGTTTGTATGTCTTTCTTGTCTACTTTATTTCCCAATAATCTTTCACATCTTTTCAGTTGTAACTGATTTTATTTTCCTATTGAAAACTTGTATTTAGCAATGTCTTACCTTCATTTGTAGCTGTATCTGATGATCTACTGTAGAGATTCTGAAGCATTAGTGTTTTGTGGTGTATCTCAGGTATGAGACCAGTGGAATGGGAGACTCGCGGGAGAAGGAGGTCCTGCTGCATGAGGATGATGACCTGTGGGTGTCCCTGCGACACAAACACATTGCTGAGGTTTCTCAGTGAGTAACATCTTTTTTCTATTCCTCATTCCTATTTCTCTCTTCATTTACAATCTTTTACATTTACTCATTTGGCAGATGCTTTTATCAAAAGCAGCCTTCTTTTCCCACTCTTCTTTCTCTTCATCTCTCTCTCTTTCCACCTCTACTCGTCTCTTCGACCTGTATTTAAAGATAAGAAGATTCTCATTCCAGTTCTGTCTGTTCTTTTACAGGGAGGTGACAAAGTCCCTGAAGGAATTCTCTGCCAGCAAAAGGATGAACACTGGAGAGAAGGTATTGGAGGGGAGGGTGAAGGGAATATTCTGCAGCAGGAGAGTCTGTAGGAACAGCAGGATGAAAACCTGGCTTATGAGTGTGTGCTGGCAACCATATCTGAGCTCTGCTGGCTGACTCATCTTAAACCCTCTTTGAGGCTGCAGCAGGATTAGTATTGATTGCCTTTCTGACACAGCACAGACACAATCGAGTGTCTATGTTAACGTAAGGTTTAATTTTACGTGTACACACTCACTGATGACTGCGTGTTACGGTTGTAGTACAGTGGTGTGAAGCACAACGAGCTGTATAGGTGTCATTTGCTGTATATTTGACATTAAGTGAGTCAAGGCATTGTCTGTCTTTTGTATACACTGCTTTTGCATCTCTGTAATAAATATAAGCCCTTTTTGGATTGGATTAGTTTGTATGGAGGATGTCTGGCATAATATTTTTACACGTCTCCTCAGTGATAAAACTCTTGCATCCAGACCACAAAAAAATGACACACGTTTTTTTATAAACCCAGATATTTGCCGCACACATGGTCATATCATCACAATCCATTTGGGAAGTGTTTCATATTAATATGCATATTAGAAGACTAAATACAGCAAGTAGCAGTGGTGAAAAACCATTTTTTTCCTCACACAAGATGACATTTATCTGGAAAATCACAGATGCTTCAAAATGTTCAGTAAAAATGTTTCTTAAACCAAAATAGAGAATAGAGAAACCTAGAAAATATTCTTATCATACAAGATCATGCTAAAACAAACCATTAGGGTAATTTTGTGAGTGTCTTAAAGCCTGCAACCAGACACAAGCCTGTCTGGACAAAGTACTGCGTTTTGGGCCGTGTGAGGGCTGATTTTTCACGTAGAACATCAGGCTCGGACTGGGCTTGCTTTCTAATGAGTGATATTTATATAGTAAAAGAGAAGCGGGTGAACGTGCCTCTAAAGGGACCCATGGATGATGAGAGGGATATGCAAATGAGCTGGGGTGACATTATATGGTTTGGGCCGCTTAAAAAATACTCAGGGCTGTAGCCCTTGAAACCCATGCCAGGCGACGCCCCTGGTAGCTCCAGTAAAAGAGGAAATCACTCCAGGACCCTATATAAATTTAAGCCCTCCCAGGTCAGGCTAGAAGTGCGCTTGTGTGTGTGTGCATGTTTAATCTTACCGTTGTTGTTTTTTTCTCCGTTTTTCAGACCACCATGAGGGATCTGTCTCAGATGCTGAAAAAGATGCCGCAGTATCAGAAAGAGCTCAGCAAGGTGAGAGAGGACGTTCAGCACAGATGGGTCTCCTTCTGCCAAAGTCAGGTTAAAATGTATGAAAGTCACAGTTCTAATCATATTAGTATTAAACTCTAAACCTCTGTCTTTGCAGTACTCTACTCACCTGCAGCTGGCAGAAGACTGCATGAAGCACTACCAGGGCACTGTGGACAAGCTGTGCCGTGTGGAGCAGGTAACTCATGCAGGAACATCACACTACTGTGGCTCACATACTTATACCAAGATATGCACTGATGGGAAAGAACAACATTTCATCATAATCTTCCTAAATTGTGTAGTAATAAACATGATTACTAGGTAATGATATCACTTTTAGCCCATAAAAGTCTAGTTATTGTTGTGCTATTTAAAAGGGCACTCTGACCAAAATGAAAAATTTAACCAGTACTACATCTGGTGTAAACATACTTACTTACCTTTTACAGTGGTGTCGCAGTAAACTGTACAGCAAGGCCCAATCCCATGTCAACCCCTTGCCCCTTCCACTTAGCTCTTATCCCTCCGCTTTGCGTGTTCTCGCCTAGGGATAGGGTGTCCTGGCTTTTGTTGAGGTAGAGGGGTAGGGCGAAGTGTTAGAGCTACATGGCCCTCCAAACGGAGGTTTTTCAGAGGCACACTCCAAACAGAGTGTTATGAGGAAAAACAGGAAAACCGGCAAGACGGCTGCACAAGCAACCAAAGAAACCCACATATGTGTATTTTTTTCCATTAAAAATTACGACAACCATTGTATTGTCTTAGTTTAATGTCATTTCAATGTATTATGATCATTTTCTTCATTACAAGCACAAAAAAAAATCACTTATAAGATGCTAATGGTCTCGGTAGCTAGGTAGCTAAATTTCCTGTTCCACCTTAAACAGTCCAGCAGTACTGATGCCTGAAGTGCCAGAATGTAACAGCTGCTCCATTTAAGGTGGAACAGGAAAGTTCAAATAAGAACTTCAGCTTCATATCACCAAAGAATTATGGGGTGGGGGATAATAAATAACTGTCGTATTCCCCCCCTTTGAAGGCATATGACGTCCTAAGTTTAACTAAAGACCAGCAGCGAGGTTGCTGAACTTTACCCTCCTCTGCTATCACTGCAGACTGGCAGGGTCGGCTAAGGGGCTTAAGATATTCCAGTTTAGAGGCTTGGAAAACCCCCTTCTGACAATATATATTGAAGGTGGGAGGAACTTTTGAAAAACTACAACTGCTTTGGGGTGGACACTTGAATTTTTTTCTGCTAATGCAGAAAGAAGTCAGATAGGGATAGGTAATGTACTGCTAGAAAGTATCTATTAGCCTCTGCATCAGTGGCTATGTTAGCAGCTTAATTTCTTCATCATTGTGGGAGGGGTTTCCAAATGGTTGTATGACATATTTGCTGGGTATTGTAGCAAGCGAACACTGATGCACACAAAACAGATGCAAAATTGTGCTGATAATTGAGCTCCAAATGAGAATTAATATCAAATTACACTACGCTTCTGCACTGGTTGGCGTTAACAGCTACGATTACATGGATTTTAGGGTTAACTTGAGTGTAACTGCTCACTGTGTAAGTGACTTAACAGTACAAAGAGAATCTCATGTAATCCAGTTCATGCCAGATGGTATAATATCTTCACCAGAGGTTATAAATTTACCCCTTAATCCCCTGCTGTTGTGTAGGATCTGGCCATGGGAACAGATGCAGAAGGGGAGAAAATTAAGGACCCCATGAGGGCCATCGTGCCCATTCTGTTGGATGCCAATGTCAGCACCTACGACAAGATTCGCATCATTCTGCTGTACATCTTCCTCAAGAATGGTGAGGGAAACACAATGTTAAGGACAACAGTGCTGGTAGTCCTTTTAGATTTCATGGGGTGACTTGCTGTTTGTTTGTGGTCACTCAGGGATCACAGAGGAGAACCTGAATAAGCTAATCCAGCATGCTCAGATACCTCCTGAGGACAGTGAAATCATCACCAACATGGCTCACCTGGGTGTACCCATCATCACAGACGTGAGTTAGCCTCTAAGCACTCTCTCTCTCTGAGTTTGATTCTAGAGAAGTAAAGCACTCCCAGACGTCACCCTTAGCCTCAAGGGAATACTTGCTAGCATCTTGAAGGGCATTCAGATTGTTATAGAGGTTAAGGAAGTATAGCATACTAATAGCAGCACCTTCAACCCTCAAACTGATTTAAGGGATAGAGTCAGTAGGTGGTCCCAATCCCCATATCCCAATAAGCATGTCTGTATTTCATCACAGTCCTGCGGTGAAGATTCCCCGCATTAACAAGGAGATACACTCACTAGGCATTTTATTAGGTACTCCTACATTGTATCTAGACTTGTTCACGATATCCGATCCACTTAACATATAGGTGCACTTTGCACATCTTGTTACAGACTGTAGTCCATCTGTTTCTCTGCATAATTTGCTAACCCCCTTTTACCCTGTTCAGCAGTGGTCAAGACCTCCACAGGACCACCACAGAGCAGGGATTGTTTGGGCAGCACTGCAGTGACATTGATGTGGTGCTGGTATGAGGGGATCAGACACGGCAGTGCTGCAGGAGTTGTTAGACACCTCAGTGTCACTGCTGGGCTGACAACAGTCCACTTACCAAAAACATTGTCCTGTGGGAAGAAACTGACCTCTGAGGATGAATAACAAATGGCGAACTGTACAGCAACAGATGAGCTAGTATTTCTAACTTTACATTGACAAGGTGGCCCAACAAAGCTGGTGTTGTGCCTAATAAAGTGGTGGTCTTGTGATTAACGGGTAAGGTGGGCTAAAAAATTATGCTGGACTAAAACTTGTAATAGTAGAAGTACAAAGTGCACCTATATGGTAAGCGAATCTGATAAAATGGTGAATGAAGGTAGAGGCAAGGATGGTGTACCTAATAAAGTGGCCAGTAGATACTCCGTTCGGGTTGGTGGAGGGGAAGTTAACAAAAAAAGAAATGGAATTGGGGTCTGTCTTCTAGCACTATCCTACTCACCTGCTTGCCTGTGTTTTAGTCTACCCTGCGCCGAGGGAAGAAGATGGACAGGAAGGAGCGTGTGAGTGAGCAGACCTACCAGCTTTCTCGCTGGACACCCTTAGTCAAGGATATCATGGAGGTAAACTTCATTACTCTCTCTTTGGTCTGATGAACTGTTTATCTTTGTTGTCATAGCAAAAACTCTACAGGAAATAAAACATTCTTAAATGTTGGACTATTTCTTGATTGGTTCAAATGTTCACATGATGACAGCTGGGTTTTTTAAATGATGCAAACACAAACAGAAACTGAGCTACGTGTTTCTTTTAATGATAAGATTCTGATTATTTGTGTGTATGTATAAACATGTGAATGCACTTACTAGCTTTCTTGTGGGCTTTGCAGGACGCTATTGATGACAAGCTGGACACCAAGCACTACCCTTACATCTCAACTCGCTCTTCTTCCTCCTTCAGCACTTCAGCAGTCAGGTACACATGCACACACCCACACATACACACAAGCTTAGACACACAGTCTCACATACCGTCATACAGGCCCCTTAACGTAAACCTTGGGTTAATCCAATTCCAAATGAACAGCACTGCAGATGTGAACAGGGTTCAAATTTGTCTCAGAGATCGTGATCCGAGCGCTCCAGCCGCCTTCAGAGGTGGTCAGGGACGCAGGTGTCCAGAATGCTTCCCAATACGTCCCTGACAGAAACGAAGGACTGCCCAATCAACTGTGTCTTCACAGCCTCCCATTTATTCTGGACCATTCAACAGAATTAGTTTAAATTGTGTCCCTAAAGAAAAAAAAATCAGTGAAGTATTCAGGCTGTAGATATTTACATGTATTATGTTATGATTTAAACAAACCCAAGGCATGAATTGAGACAGTAATAAGCAGTATATACAAAATCATGATGTATAGGCTACTTTCTATAGGGAGGTGGCCGTCTCAAACCCTAATCCCTAAATTTCAATTTGTAAAAATAATCCATATCTTTTTAGAGATGTTTTTCAACTTTATTAAAGTTGAGTGGTTTTAGTTCTAGGTCTGTCTGTCTGTCTATCCATCCATCCATCCATCCATCCATCCATCTATCATAAAACAATGTCTCAGTATGTTTGTAACCATTTTATATAATAACTTTCTGGTTTTACATCACACCACATTCAATGATTTTATTTACATCTTAACCATGGAAGCAGTGATGCACAATGATGTCAGAACTGTATTGGTATTGGCACAGATTTGTGCAAATAATAAATAGCTGCATTGCACAAATGTTCAGATTTGACCGATATTTCAAACCAATAGTTGATGTATTTATTGTACTCTGGAAGAGGTAAACGTTTAGGTGATGCGGATGCGCTATAGTGTCTACATTTGATTAATTTTAACCGCGTTTGTAACCCTCCACAAATAAGCGTTACATTTCTCTGTAATGTTAATCCAGGTCGATTTAGTCCTAGTTACATATAATAAAGATTTATGTATCAGCATCGGCCTGCAATTCCCGTATCGGTACATCCCCTTTAATACCATGTGTGAACAGGACCATACTCTCTCGCTTACACTCCTTCACACACTCACAGTTTTTATTGCACCAGCCATTCCAGAACAGAAGAGACAGACGTAAAAAAGATCAATAATCATTTGTGCACGGAAAGAGAAAGAGAAAGAGAGAAAGAGAGAGAGAGAGAGAGAGAGAGAGAGAGAGAGAGAGAGAGAGAGAGAGCAAGAGAGAGCGAGAGAGAGCGAGAGAGAGCGAGCATATAGATCAATACTGTGATCGGTAGCTGGTGCTGTGGGGGCAGGGAAGACTTGCATTCAGAGGAAGACAATATAACCTCCTCCATCAACATTAATGATCCAGCACAGCAGAGGAGAGGCAGAAAAAGCATAACTACACATTCAGCGACACACACAAACACACACTCGCCTCTTCAGCAGTGCTGGTGTATGTAAGTGTGGGCTCCCCAGCAGTGTGAAGCTGGGAGATCTGGGGGCAGCCTGGCTTTCTGACCGGTCCTGTAATGTGGGTGTATTGATCTGACTCCAGATCACCAGCACTCATGCCGATTTCCGCCCTCATTATGCCTGCTATTGACTCCTCCACAGAGCAGGTGTGAGGAAGAGGGGGTGTGTGTTATATCAGTGCTGAGAGACAAGCATGATAATGGGAGGACTACGGTGGCAGGGTGAATATTAATGCCTATTTATTCACACGCTCCTCTTTCGATCTCTACCGTGAAGACGCTGCTAAACCACAACATGAGGCTGAAATCAATAATGAGCTTGTAATGCGTCAGGGTCACTACTGCACTCATCAGTGACGGTCTTCTGAAATCATAGCACATTACTTCTAATGTCTTGACTAATTAACTACATTTGGACCAAAAGAAAAGTTATGTACATTAAATTTTTGGCTGAACCAGAACCAGATTAATATGAAAGTATTAAATAACTACCAGGAAACCATCAGTCTAAGGTCATTTAGTTTATAGAAGGCCTTTCTAATACTGTTACATTAAAGCATCTGTATTGCCTGTTAACATGTCCTTTCCCTGGCAGCGCCCGGTATGGCCACTGGCACAAGAATAAGACCCCTGGAGAGTACCGCACCGGACCACGCGTCATCGTCTTCATCATTGGTGGCGTGTCCTTCAGTGAGATGCGCTGTGCCTATGAGGTCACACAGGCCAATGGCAAATGGGAGGCCATCATCGGTGAGTTTGCATTTGAGGGGCACTTTCTGTAAAAGCAGGCATAGTAGATACTTAGTAGAGACAACAGATTAGACTTCATTGAAAGCAATGCAGATTATCAATGCAGGCTGTCCTTCCAGCATAGATTACGTTTTGTAAACCTACTCTTTAGAAAGAGACATATAGTGCACTAGGTTTTGAGCTTAGTATGCTTGTCTGCTTTTGAAGACTTTTCTGCTTTTGTAAGAAACTAAATGATCAGTGCTGAGTTTAGCATCGCTTGAATAATGAGCAGGAGAACCACTTTCTGTAAGAAACAGCACTGCCTGCATGTTGCACTGTTTTTGAGAGAGCTGCCACACTCGTACTCCTGTTGACACTGTTCCTGCGTAAGCAGAAACATCAGTCGATAATCTGCTTTGTCTGTTTTTGTTGTGCTTATGGTTCTTGGTTTGGTTTCCCATGTTGCACAAAGATTGAGAGAGGATGGCAGAGATAGTATCACTTGCATTACTCTGATGGTGGGGTTTCCTACACAGATTAAACATAAGCCTAAAAAGCATTTTAATGGGTGAATCACTATTGGCATTTCAATTTAGCTAAACATTAGGCTTAATCAAGACCCCCTTACACTGCGTTTGGACAACTGGCCAGTGTTGTATTTTTTTGTTCTGGTATGTGAAAACTAACATTTGTAGCATAACTGAGATTCCTATCTGTTTTGTGTCTGTCTGTATTTGTGAGTGCATTTTTGGACTTGGCCTTTTCCTTTTTCAGCAATAACACTCCACGATTACATCAAACCAACCGATACTGACTTTTTGCGAGAGGTGGTAACAGTAGTGCAGCACTGTAGAATCTATTATCATCAAGACGCATGCCAATTTTTCCCCAGAGATATTGAACTATTACAGAATTAAAAAATGAATGGTATGTTTGTCGTTTATATTCATGCTTTTTAGACAGGATTAGAACTGGAGTGCTGTAAGACCGCAAATATTTTTGTATTCCAATCAGTATGTGCTAAAATGACTAAAATGGATTGAGGGATTTCGATGGATGCATTAAAAGTGGAAATGGCTGTTTAACCCCTCCTTTTCTCCAAGATGACTGACAGTTGGAAAAAGAAAGAAAATGGGGATGCGGTGTTGGATGAAAAACTGAGCGTGAAGCCACCTTTGTTCCTTCGCAGGTTCCACCCACACGCTCACCCCAACCAAATTTCTAATGGACCTGCGGCACCCCGACTTCCGAGAGTCCACTAGGGTGTCCTTTGAGGACCCCGTTCCCTCAGACGAGTGAGAGAGAGAGGGAGAGAAAGAGGGAAGGGTGGGAGAGACTCTGACAAAGTAAAGGCAGCCGCTCAAAGAAGCCCTTTCTGATTCCCCACAGCACAAGGGCTTTCTTTTTCTCCTTATTACCACACTCTATACACCGTTTTACTCCGCTCCCCCCTTCAGGGATGAGTTTCCGACTCCCGCTTTATTGCATGGACAAACTGCACTGCCAAAAATGATATTTTGGCAAGTGAAACCCTCTCAAATCTAGTCAATATATATACATATTTCTCATTATGACATGGTGGTAAGAATGTTGGATATATTCAGCTAGTAGTTTTATCTTGTAAAGTTATTTCATTGGCTGACAATTTTGCTTCTTTCAGTCAAATAAACTGATAATATTCTTACAACAATCTCATAATGAAAAATGTTAGATATATTTACTAGATTTAAGATGATTTAACTTGGTAAGATATCATTGTCTGCAGTGTGCCAGTCTAATGAAGGCCCCACCTGCCGCTGACCAGACGTTAGTTGGTGGTAAAATGCACCACTGATGGACACATACGGCAGACTGCTGCATCATTTACACCTGCAGTGGGTGGAGCCTCTTTGGAGTGGCCATGCAACGGGTGCTGACCCCATCCCTGCTGTCCCCCATCCTCTCAGCTGGGTGGATTAACCTGCATTTTCCCTAGCATACGCCCTCTAACCCAGTGATGTTTCTTCTTCGGGTGATGAGGAGCGACTACATTTGCCCTCCTAGATTTCATTTTTTTTGTTTGCCTTTCATTTTTATTTCACGCAGATTAATCTACCCTAGAGATTCATCATATTTTAGTTACTTTTGAATAACAATCCAAGAAAATCACTCACATCAAGTTAACAGAGGTCCTTGGTTTGATGCTGATTTCAGCGAAGGATAGTTTGGTTTCTGTTCCTTTTAGTTGTATAATTCCAACTTCTCAAACCACCACACATCACATGTCTACATGAGCAAGCGGGCGTCTGCACAGACTACACAGCAGTACTGTCCATTGTGTTATGCAAGGATTGTCATATTACATTTTAGCACAGTAATTTGGCTTAGCCCTGTGTGTGATTCTTCTGCAGATGCCAAAGCTTGAAATGTAGCTGTGTTCTCTCGATATGCTTTAGCACTAAGCAGTCGCCACATAAGGCCATTGTGATCCTGCTTATTAATAAGTATAAGACATTATTCTTCTAAATTTAGCCTTAAAGCCCCAACCTGGCATCAAATGACAGGCAATTTTTACATTTTTGCTGCTACAACAGTAAAAACTTTCAGATATGAACATATCGATGCTGACAGAACAAAACCTTGTATGGCCAAAATGAGTAGGAAAAAACTTAATGTAAGTCAATGGAACTAGACTTTTTTATTTTGGGCCAATTCTTTTGGTCCATTCATCACGACAGGCATTTTCAAACTGTCAAAAACTGAAAAACGACAAAAATGGAGATACAAGGTTTTGTTCCGACAGCAGCGATATGCACGTTACCATACTCCTACAAGACTAGAAGTTACAAGATTCCATACTGAGGCTTTAAATGGTGTTAGGTATCAAGTGAAGCTGTTCCAGTTTTTTATATATTTTCATACAGCTAGTGGGTAAAATTTCAGTGACATTCACTACAAAATCATCAGTGTAAATTTGAGCCCTGTTGGAGTTCATGTGCCTCCAAAACTAAATTCCCAACAGTCACACAGAATTATAGTATTTGTAGTTTATGAGTGACACAGGCTGAATGAGGATTTTGTGTTAAGATACAAACTTCACCTCTTAAAATTACAGTATTCTGCCTCTATTATGTATTTCCAAAGATGTGGCTGTGGACCAAGTGTTGCATTTACTTGCAAATGTATGGTTTTCAAATTTTCCTTCATTGTGTTCACATTAAATTTGAACACATTAGCAACAATAAGAAAATGAAACACTTGCTGCACTATTAATTTAAACAGTCAACAGAAAAAAGGGTACTGTAATACAGAGAGTCTCAGAGCACGATATTCTCTAAGATAACAGAGGGTCTGATCAGATTTACTGATCATGTATTGAACCATCTGCTAAAGCTATATCCCTTTTTATATCGCCTTTTTTTCAATTGGTTCATCATTTTTGGATTTTCCCAGTAAAAATGATCACCATGTGCAGTATGCCAGCCCTAACCCATACTGCTACATTAAACACTTCCTAAACTATACAGTCATTATATTCCATAACTAAAGTTTGTTTCTGTTCTGGTTCTTTATTAAAGGCCTTTCCATCTAGTCAAATTAACAGAGCTACTATTAGAAGCACTACTTGTTTATAGTGCTTCTAGCCAGATCTTAGCAAAGCTGCATGTTCACTTTATTTGAATTCACTGGGTATTTTCAAAGGTCACAGTCAAGCAAGACTAGTTAAATGTTGGTCCAGAGCTGTTTTACTGACCCAGTCTATACCCCCATGGTGCACCAGTTTCAGTGGGGTTTGTCTTTTTGCTGCCCGCTGTCTTCCCTCTTGTTTGCTCAGAGTGTTTGGCTCTAGATAGCTACATTGCAATGATTACATTAGAGGGCCGTAATTGTTTTGTTGTTTTAGTGCAGAGGTTGAAGAAAAGTGCAGCTTTGCTAAAGAAACAAACAAATGAATTGTTCAGTAACAAGACACTTCAAAAAGCTGGAATCAAACATCTGTTCCAGCTGTGCTTGATTTGAGCTATGAGACCTGTCAGAAGGATTTCATGTAGAATAGGTGGAACAAATGTTTGATTATTTATGAACCAATTATTTGTAAATTGCTATAAATGTGTCTTCAGCTATTTGTCTTAAGACAGATTCCGTTTCAGCCCCTAAATACGGTCTTAATGTCGTCTTTTATCTTCTGTCATCTTGAAAGTGTATCTTAGTTTGAGGTATCATAACTTATGTCAGTATATTTGACCTACAGTCATATGCAGACGTTTGAACATCCCTGGTCAAATTGTTAGTTTTGTTGATTTTCTAAGCGAAAATAAGTTAACAAATTCTCTACAGCAGACTTAAACATGGTATTTTTCTGCAAATTTTAGTGCACAGTTTCTGTCTATATTGGAAAAAAAAATATATATATATTTTTACAAGCCACATTTTATGTTTTTTTTTCCCCCAATTCACCAAAATTAGCAAAAAAAACTGTAAATGTGCAGTGAAATGAGCAGAAGTGTGTTCTCTTTAGACGATGTGTACTTATTTTCACTTGAACATGTAATTTGACCAGGGATGCCAAAACATATAACTGTATATCTGTTGTAGTGTGTAATAGCTTTCTAAGACACTAATGTTGAAATCCCAACCCTTTACATCCTCTGACTTACAGTTCCACTATCCTCCTGAAGAATTCATCTCAATTGCATAATTTCCTACATTTGTTTTTGATGTTTTAAAAATTTGACATACTTTGGTTTCCACTCACATTTATATTCTTTTGTACTGGAAGAGATATAACAGCTGAAAACACATTTTGAGGTTGAACGATGTGCTCGTGCAGTTCTAATTCTTATTTATTTTCTCTTTTTTTTCACCCCCTGGGTTTTCACCCCTGCAGGCTCGACCCATATCTTCACCCCTACCGTGCTCCTCGACGCACTCAAGGCCATGAACAAACCAGATGAGGATCAGACAAGCTAAAACCATCCCTCCCGTTACCCAACAAAACCCCCTGCTCCTATATTAATTGTGTATGCATCTTGCTCGAAAGAAAAAAGAGAAAAAAATTAAACAATGGCAACATTGACTAAAAAAATTATATATATATATAAATATATATAGTATGTTGAAAAACAAAGGAATCATTGCAAGTATTCTCATGTTTTACAATGGATGCAAATGATTAAACTGTCAAAAATATCAAAGGCCATTTAAAACTGAAAGTACCAAATGTAATATTGTATGCTATGAAACCTGCTAGAATGTGTAAATGGTAGAGACTTTCTTTGTTTTTTCCCTTAGTTACTTGGTGTGATTTGTAATGGCTGTGGATGGGGGAGGGACAGTTGTGTGTATGCGAGGGTCAGTTTAAAAAAAAAATCATATAATTTCTCATGCTGTAAGCTGAACTGCTGTCCTTCTAAACTCTGGTTTTTGACTTTGTATCATGTTAGATGTGCATGCCATGGGATCTAATTTGCACCCATTTGGAAACGACCTCAGATGGAAAACAGCCCCTTGTTATCGTAGATGTGATTCTGACCATTTTTTTTGGCATCTGCTGGGACTTTCTGTGACTACGAGGAAAGAAACCAAAGCAGCCGTAGGTCAGAGAATCGGCAGGTGAAGTGAAGGAAACGCTGTAAATAGTTACAGATGGCAAATACCAGCCCTCCCCCAGCCACACGTCCGGCTGTATTTACTTGCCACAACCTTTCATTTGATTGCTCTCACGTTTTAGTGTCAGAAAGGCCATTGCTTGCAAATGTTTGAAGAATACTCAAAAAAGGGCCAGTCGTATTTCAGTATTGTATCCTGTCAGATTAAGTCCTATCATTGGTTAGTATACAATGTTTAACCGGGCCATGCACTGAGTAGCGTGTTGTTGTATATGCCATATGTTGATGTTTTAATGTCTCACTGTTGACTGGTGATATTTCTGACTGTGAAGTAGTAAAACATTTCCTTTGAAAAATGCCAATGTGAAGCCAATGTGTTTGTGATGTTTTAGCTGTAGTTGTAGTAGTAAACTGGGAAAAATAGCAACTATCTATATTTGGTTTGTCTGTTTGTTAGTTTTTCCTCTGGTGCAATGTTAAATCTTCCACTGGTGAATGGCTTTGCAAAGAAACATAACCCCCTATTTATATATTTTCTTTATTTCTATTTATTCCTATTTTATTCCTTTGTTCTGGCAGGCAGGTTGTATATTGCACTACGCCTTTTTCTGTGATGCAAACGCTTTTTTATTTTTGACATTTCTTCTCTCTCTCTCTCTCTCTTTTTCTTTTTTTGGTTTGCTGTTGTAAAGCACTGACTGTGTCTACTAGATTTCTATCAAATTTATTTATCAGAGAAAATATTAATAAATGAAGAGTTAGTCTGTCCTAAACCTGTTGAACTTGCTGGGATTTCATGTTTGCGAGCGTTGAAGCACAAACAAAAAGTATACTTGTGTACCAATGTAATAAGGCTGTCTAATAAATTGGCTTCCATTACAGCACAGATTCAGTATATTCTCTTACACAAAACAGCACCGATTCCTTTCAATCTTAAAAGGGAATTCCACTGATATTTCTGCATGATTACATGGTTAAGATGTAAACAGTGACTCAGAGTAGTTTGATGTGAAATGCTCAGGATTGTTCACAGTGGTGGTGATAGGAACCAAACATCTTAAGAGTTTAATGCCTCTGAAAGTTCCCTCACAGAAAGTTCTGATATGAAGTGGTTATGAATACGCTGTCGGATGCCTAAGACATTGCTTACCTAGTTTTGAGATAATAAATTAAATGTCTGTATTTGTGTTGTAGACATTGTGACCCCTAGTCTCACTACTACTGAAAACATCTGTGTAGGTAAGTTTCTCTACAATGTGCCGTTTCACATCAAAAAACTCTGAATGACTGAAAGAGTTTACATCTCAATAACTGAATTATATAGTTTTGAAAAATCTTGCCTTTAAGTGACCTCAGCAGAGAGGAACCCTACTGCACAGCTCAGCATCTGTTCGATGTAAATAAAGGTTATACAATAAATTAACATCACAAACCTTTCAAGGTCAAAGAAATGAGGAAATTAATACATTACTGTAAGACCTTACCTGCAGAAGTGTTGGCGGTCCTGAAAACATGCTGTCGAATTTCCATATCAGTCTCCACATACCTGTGGCAATGACATGGACATAATTAGTTTAAAGAAAAGAGCTGAATTTGATGTAAATGAATATGATATATTATAATATATAATATAATATAGAAGATATCATTTAAAGAAGCATGGATTGTTTTTAATAATAATATGAAAGTACAAAACAACATTTTCCTTTGTAAACATTTTTGGTTCACATATAATTTGTTAACTGCAAAAAAGAAAACAATTTTTACAATCATTTAAAAAAAGAGCAAAAAACAAAAAAACATTTACTCTAAAATATCTCAGAAATTGAACATCCCTTTATGGAACTATGATCCACAGCTTTGCTGGGTATTATCATTACAAAAAAAACATAGTATGCATGGCTAAAATCTGTTAACCATAGCTCTCTTTCTCACAGCTCTCTTTAAATGACAGAAATGACAAACATTATGCTGTATCATTATGCTAAATCACTCGTTCACTTGAGTGACTCCATCCATCCAGATGACTCAGCCTACACAAACACATACAAAGATAATAATAAATTATCCATAACAGGAGTACAATGTGAATACATTACACAGAAATGTATTGTAAGGATCATATACACCAAAGACCAACAGAGTAGAAAGTCTGATGATAGCATCTACAGTATGTCTCAACAGTCACTGGGTGACTCCCAGTGTGCTAAAACTACTCTATTCATATCTCACTGTATTTCAGAAAATAAAAGTCTTTTCAGGACAGAAGTCATAAAATCTCATTAATGTAATAAAAAATACAGAGACATTTTTCAGACACAAATCTTAGCAGGAGTTTCCAATATAAAAACAGATTTTTCAGTAGGAATGAAACCAATTAAAAACAATGTGTAATTAAATAATTATTCATATTAAAATAACAGCTCTGCTACATGCAGAACTTGATCATTACTTAGGAGACTAAATCTCACACAAGTAAACATAGCAATACAAGGGCTATAGCTATTGTTTGCATTTCATTTAGTAACTAAATATCCATAAATTAAAAACTAAATACAAAAAAATTCTCACAGTGCAGTAGGTTCTTACTGGACCTTATCACAGCACAGCTGCTATGGTTTAGATGAAGGTGTATCTCTACAGGACGTCCAGTACCAATCTCTTATTACCATATACAAATGAGTTACTCAGCACATGTCAAAGGGAAGTTTAGTGAAGGTGAACTCCTCTGTAGGACACTCAGTAGGGGACAGCAGTGCTGCAGAGTGGTTCACTGAGCTGTGCTGCAGTGTTAGTAGGTGCAGGACTGTGCAATAGGGCTCGTGTGCTGCAGTCCCGAGGCAAGAGAACGCGCCATGCGTCGCGAAACATCGTGCATGCTGCTGGCAGCAGCGACGGCGCGACTCAGAGAACTTTTGAGAGGATGCTGCGTGTCCACAGAGTGTGAGCGTCTGTGATGACCTCTGACCCCTGATCTGTAGCCTCTATCTTCACTGCGTGAGAGGTAAAGGGGCTTTGGGTAAGAGGAGGGCGCCACGGGGCTGGAGTAGTACCTGCAGACCAGAGCAGAGGGTCGAAGCATTATCAGTGAAGTTTTCCTGAACTGCAACCACATTGATGTTTTGTCCAAAATATGATGCTTGCTGGTGTGAGGAATCATACATGGATGTGCAAAATTATGATTAAGGACATGAAGGACGGTGACGGCTTTTAAGAACTACTGAGATAGTACACTGAGCCAAAGTCCTGGTCAAGGCATTTATATTCCTTTTTGCTAGCAAAGAGTGGTAAAAAATACCTTTAAAATTTTAGAATATGGAAATTTCACTGTCATTATATGTTCCAGTCATTTTAGCAGCATTTTAGTTTTTGCCCCTTAGTTTAAACAAAACCAGGTTGTGTTTATGTTCCAGTTTGGGGCTGTTACATCATATACATGCTTATGCTTGTCTCCACCCACATTTCTTCTATCCACACTTTAATAATCTTGGTGCATTAATACAGAATTCAGTTGATGTGTGTGTTCTTAAGTGTGTTTATATCAAGTATTTTACAATGGTTATGAATTTGGCTCAGCCAACCAGCATTTTAGAACCGGAACTGTCCATCTTATAACAAATAAAATCCAAGGGCATAAAAGGGCACATCCTTGACCTTAGCCTTGGGAATTAACGATTAATCTCTGACTAATGAATCAGCATCATTTGATTAGGCTTTTTTTTGTCTTTGTTTATTTGTTTACTTACTTGTCTTAAGCAGATTTATGGATACCATGAGTAAAGAAAAAACAGAAAAAAAAGAGAAACAAACTGCTTCGCAACAGGGGCATTGCTACTACAGGCACATTATATTATGGCTATTATATTTTTCTATTAAATACATCACTAAAAATATTGCTAAAACTGAAAAGGAGTATGTCAGTATACCAGTATGTCAATATCATCGTGATATATTGCCTAGCACTGCATGGTCTGCTACTTTATAAAAAAATAAATGAATACTTTAGAATATGTGGTGCCACATAAACCCAAGGTAGGTAGATGTGAATTTAATTTTTCCTTGAAAATATATTTAATAAGTTTTTTGCAATAAATAGAACAAATTATTAGAACAAGGACACCAAGTGTCACCGATGCAAAACACCAGCATGTAGTATCTCAAACATCCTAGAAAGCATTTATCCACAATGCTCAATAGAGTCAGCCATTTCAACTAACACAAGGTTGGTTTCACTCTAGTTACTAGAGTGTCATAGCTCCCCTGTGTGTGCATGTTCTTCACGTCTAAAAACAATTCTGTCAGACAATATTATAATGGCGCAACATAAAATGTGATGCCTATGATACACACTATAACACAGCCATGGGAAAAGAACTTGGAAAGCTTAGAATCAACATCATCCTAATCTGCTGACAGCAAGCTGAACCCATTCCATGACTGTGTGCTAATGGATTCTCTTTATTGAGTTTGACACTCCCCCACCCTGACCTCAGCAGAACTGACCACAGCCAAAAAAGAGTTTGTGGGGGAGAATAAAGGTAATGAATACTTTATCTTGAGCTACTCACAGAACTGAGGGACAGACTGGCACACACTGGACCACATGCACACTGCCCATCACCGGAGGGGGCAGAGCTGCTGCCAAGTATACACCCCCTTTATCCCTGTGTCTGGAGCTCACTGACTTTTCCCTCTGAGCAGAGTTTTGGTGTTCTGAAATCAACAAATTAATATTCATTTTTATTGGTTAAATGGGACATATTTTATTTCAAAAACTGACTTGACCATTAAATGGCAACAATATCATGTTAATAATAACATAGAACATAGGTGAGGTCAATTAGACCTTTTTAATTTTATACGGAGGCATTTTTCTGTTTTATTTAAGTGGCCCTGAGATTCAAAGAAAGTTCTGCATTTATAATCTTCTTACATTTGCAAAAGGTCTTTTTTGTAAAGCAAATTAATAAAAGAAAAGAATAACAGTTTCTAACCAGGTAGAGAGACTCTTGCTCCACACTGTGGGCAGTGTCTAGAGTAATGATGAGTCCGACTGGGTGAGCTAACATTCCTTGCTGGAGCTGCTAAAACACAAGAAAAGATGAAGGCGTAAGTGAATGAAACAGCACTGACGAGGAAGACTGACATGATTTTCAGTACATCTTCATCACTTCACATAATGAAAAGAGATGCTCACGTGCAGAGACTCTACTGCCATGTCTTGCCATACAGCACACACACAAGAGGGCCGGCCCTCTGCTGCCTTCAGCCTCATCATCACCCTCTTCTGAGCTGTCAGCGGAAATGCTACGCTGCTGGCCTGATGAGAAAACATACTACTGCTAATTTCATTCTAAGATGACAAAGATAGAAATATGCAACACAAAGCACTCCTGCGCAAGCAGATAATACACAGCAAGTAACGGCCGACGTACTACTTGTGTGGGGCTCTGTACTTCGCCGAATCTCAGTTCTAGCTCTCCGGGATGCATGCGCCGCTGCAGGAGATGCTAGGATATGCCTTGATGTCCGTGGCTTGGGTTCAGATTCAGCAAGGTCTGAATCAGTGGCTATATTTTTGACACAAAGGAGAACTGAATCAGAATCTTTTTCACGGAGTACAAGATATACAGTTTCTCCTGGAGCAAGTGTTATAAGTGTCATAAATTCCAATAAAAAAGGAAGAAATGCACAGTTCACAAAATAATCTACAAGTAGCAAAATCGGTCTTATGTACAGTTATATATTAGGTACCAAAGTATAAAATTATGAAAATACATACAGTACTGTCCAAAAGTCTTAGGCATCTGAGAAAATTATACCTAATAAGCTGTTTATCTGGATAGCAAGCATTTTTGCTCAGAAAAAAATAATACTAAAATGAATGCAAATAACATTAATACAATATTTCGTGATTTTATGCATATTAATGTGTTTATCTATCAATTTTCAAACTCACCTTGTAGCAGCCCACTACTATCTGTAGTTACACCTGGTTTGGCTAATCAATCCTTCGTTAAATTAAATCAGGTGTGCTGGTGGTGGAATTTTACAAATCTATGTGATGTCTGGGGGCATCAAGTAGAAATCCGAAGCCAAACCTTCTTCAAACCGACTAACTTATAAGATATCAAATCATTTTTTTAAAACAAGAAATTCTTGTTAATTTTACTGCATTAATGTTGCTTTATTCTAATTATTCAAACGTTCTCTGATGTTCTTACAAGCAGAACCACACCAAAAAATGATTTTAAACAATGTTCTTGGGTGCTTAATACTTTTGCATAGTACTGTATATAAGTTAAGAGCTTCTCTATTGACTAAGTAATATGTAAAGCATCTTACTATAACCTTAAAGTAATGCTACTTTTACAGAAGGTAAGCATAAATGTGTTCATATTTAGTTAGACTGTAATTTGTTCACAGGTTTACTTACTGATATGTAGCTCTGGTCTGAAACGGGGCAGAGATGCTGATCTCCTCCTTGGTATATGCTTTGGTGTTCTCCTTCTCTCTTCCTCCTCCTGTTCCTCTTCACTCCTCCTGTTCTCTCTTGGTCCTCTTTTGCTGGCTGCTCTTTGCTCCAAAGACCTGTAATATGCCAGTATTATAATGCAAATATTTTAAGTACAGATATGTTGGACATATTTAGATGTGTTTAATTCAGAAAGAATTAAATTAAGAACTAAATTAAGTTAATTAAGAATTTTCCATTTAACCTCCATTGAGAAATCATTTGTTAAACAGCAAGTGTTCCAGAGGTAATTTACCTGGCAGTAGGCTGCAGAGGTGTGGATGTGTGAGAAGGTCTATGGTTTCTACAGTCCACCAAGATAGAAGGGGGTGCTCTCACTGGACTGGTTGGACTGGTCATCCTAAGACTTCCCTCTAAGCGCTCCCTGAGTCTGTCCACCTCCTCCTGCAGAGATTGGAGGGCCTCACTGATACAAAAAGATAATTCAATTCACTTCTTGTTCACATATTACTGTATAAAAGTTCTAAACATCTAAAGTGACACAAAGAACTTGAGTAAAAAAGGACAACTCAACTGCACTACAGTGGAACGGGGACATTTTGTTAAACATATTTCACAAAATATCCCCATAATATATTGGGAAATATACTGGAGGTGTTAAGAAGCATTTCAAGGTGTGGTACAACAGATGCACACACAGCATGCATTGCTTTCATGAAGTCAACCACACCATGCAATACAGCGCATACTATATGCAGTTGGAAAATACCTCCCCAGTCATGTTCCTCTAGATACTCAACTTTCCATGACTGTAAAAACACAGGATATCTCACTTGTAAATACTTTCTGCCACGCTTTGAGGTTATCTATAGCTATAAGTCAGTCAATCTACATTTCAAAGCTGCCAGGACAAAAAATTGTGTCTCAATTCTTTTTGTTTTTTTTTGTTTTTTTCGAGAATTTGAAAATGGCAGTTGGCCTTTACACTGTGTGGTATAACGGCAAAAAATTATCTGGAAATAAATCTTGTTCCATTTACTTTGAAAAATTCCAAGTTTCATTAGATATTATACTATAAAAGTTATAAACATGTTTTACATAAAAAATATTATAATATTTTTACTTCTCCTGTAAAGTCACCAGTGTTTTGAAACCACAGCCCTGACTTCTTTTGTGCATTTTACTCTTACAATGTAAGCGTTTTTACTGAGATTATGCTGAATCAAGCATTTCAGAGCTGAGAAAAAAATTAGCATGATGAAACTGAACTGAGTGTTCTGGGAAAAAAAACCTATTTAACTGAGACTGTATTTATTGCCCTACCAGGGACTGTTCCAATACTATACTGCAGTGCAACCTTTTCACTTCACTCTACAGCAGGCATAAATCTTGGCTTGTTCTGTGCTGCTATTGCTATGGCAGCCAAAAAGAGACTCACTGGCGATTTGTCAGCTGGACAGAACTTTGGGCTTTGAGGTGGTCACCATGGTGATAGAGCATAGCGGGGGAGGGGCTTCTGAGATAACAGCCATTCTGACTGGCTGGTGGTGTGTACTGGTCACCCTGTCGTACTTCCTCTCCTGATAAGGACTGGGCTAAAGAGAGAGCAGAAAGAGAGAGCGTGATGAAGAATGAGGAGAAACAGAAACAGTGCCACTGATTCCAGCATCCACCAAATGATTCTCCTTCAGACAGCCACTTGCCCTTGTGCTAAAGAACTGTGAACTCAAAGCATTTGCAAGTTGTAGTAACAGTATCACAAATTTCATTAAAAATTAAGACTGTGTTGCTTCCGTTATCCACTTTGCATTCTACACACCACAGTCACTCTGGTGCTCCAGCTCACTGATGCCACTACTAGGCCAGGGCTGGAGGTGGCCACTAGGCCACCGCAGAGGAGAACTGGAGGTGGAAGGGCTAGGCAGGGTCTGTCTCTCTGTCTCTCCTCTTCTCCCTGTGGAGCCTGGGCCTCGTCCAGAGTGACCAGGAGAGGCCTGTATGTGTGCCAGGGAGCGAGGAAGCTGCCCACTGACAGACACTGTCTCAGGTTTTATTCTGCTCTTCTCTTGTGTGACAGATGGCCTGGTCACCCTGGAGGAGACAGGAAAGAGGCCTGAGTTAAACACACACAAAGGTTTGGCTTTATGTACAACATAGGGACATGAAGTCAAACATAGCGTCCTATGTATATTTCATACATATACGAATTTTGAATTAGTAAGCCTGGCCGTAGAAAGACTTTTCCCATGTACAATTTGTTTAAGTCCTTCATTAATGGTCAGTTTTTGATGAAGAATTTGTTTTATTCTTTCTCTATTCAAAAATGAAACAGCCTGCAAAAAGCACTTTACAAAGTAAGTGCTTGAAAAGTTATGTTTCCATGTTCCTACAAAAACAGGAAATTTCTTCCTAAAATTGTATGAAAACAAACAAAACCATACAACAGACAGAGAACATCATTTATTTAATCTCCTGTCAAAACCTGCGGCAAAATAGCTAAAGTTATTCATTTTTGAGGAGACATGCCTGAGGAGATTAGATACAAAATAATCCACTTGCTTAAAGAAGAGGAAAGCCAAAGAAAAATAAGTGAAAAGAGAAAATGGGACTCCTAACAACTGCGCAAGACCTGGTAGACACCAAAACTATCATCATCAGAGAAACAGCACTTAACGCTTTCATCTTCGGGAGAAAAATCAAGCCCTACTCTTACTTTAGATCTGAAAAAACCCAGAGCTCAGACCTCAACATCAGGGAAGCAGAACTTTTAAAGGTGCCACAGAATGGTAACTTGTAGTTGAATAAGGTGTGTTCGGTACTTGGAACTGACATATTGTAAACCTCAAACACTGTTGTCTCCTCCTTCAAATACAAGTCCTGCAAAAGAGAGCAGTAAAACGGACCAATTCTAAAATCCTAAGCTGTGTAACAGACATTGACTCATTAATATTTACACCCCCAAAATGTACATACACCAGCCCACGTCCTAGCCGTGCAGAAATGTATCATTGCAGCCTGTAAAGAGGATGTCAAGAGGATGACCCTTCCCAAGGAACTGAACTGTCAATGGGCATCTTTAAACATGGCTGAAGTTGGCTTCCTATTCGCCAGCTTCTTAATCAAACATTTCATTCCACCTTACACACTATAGCAAAATAGTAAATAGGAATCCAGCTTCAGCTCCCACATCTTTAACATCTTGAGTAACTTTAATTCAAAGTTGTTCATTTGCTCTGTACCTTTCACTATGGATAATATTGAGCAGGCTTTGCTCAGTGTTTGACACTAAAGAGAAGGGAAATTCCAACTTTATTAAAATCAATCAATCAACCTTATTTTCACTCAGAAATACACTGAGGGTTGAAAGGAATTTCCATGGATTTTCCTAAAAGGAGAATCTTTTTTGTACAAAGCTTTTCTACAAGCACACTAACTTCAGTAAATTAAGCATCATATGTCTGTGTGTCAGGACAGAACATCCTGACCTGCAAATACATTTCTTGGCAGCCACGTCCTGTTCAGCTGTTGTTTCCTGTTGCTTTCACACCTCAGCTCATATGCATACTGTTTTTAGAAATCTTGTTTATATCTATACTGACCACCTGCCACTGTATAAAAAGGCCCTTATAAATATAATGATTGTGTCTGAACACACTAAAATTAATGAGTGTATCTGAACATCGATCTGCCTGTGACTCTTGTTCTAGCGCACTCCCGGAGCTCCGACGGAGAACATTCAGAGAGAGAGTGGTCAAGGTGGGATCGGGAAGGGACAAAGGAAACCATTTTCTTACAAGGGTGACCCTTATTTTCAATCCAGCTGAGAGTTTACAGCGTAAAGGGATTGAAAAAAAAATAAAAAATAGAACCAGGTTAAATTAAATGAACAGAACAACATGAACAACTCAATAGTAAAATCTAATAAAATCAAGTAGGATAAATGGGAAAAAAAAATAAGAGAACATTTAAGATTTAAATAGAAGGCATCACAAACCCAACCACAACCTCTAAGTAGCCGTGCTGTGTGATTTTATCCACTATTTGCCGGCTGAAGCCAGATTAGCATAAACTGACAGTTTTATAGTGAGATAACAACTTTAATTTACTTTGTGCTGTTGCCGAGATTGAAAGCAAGTAGTTTGTATAGGTAACTTTAGCCACTAGCATAGTTACTAGCATTAGTAACTAGCACAGCTAACTGAACAGTATGATGACCAAGCTTATTAGGGTTGGAAACGGGAGTGTAAAACCACATCTGGGCATGTTTCACTCCAACCAAAGCCAGATACCTTCTATGTAGACATCAGAGAACAATTTAAAATACTGAATAAATGCATTCTACAACACCTTTAAGACTAGCTATGAAGAAAAAAAATATCTGTGGAGATTTCTTTGAAAAACCGAAAGCAGGTCTCCTCAAAAAATCAAAGCATTAATAAAGACAAAGGGTGAACAAAATAAATAGTGAAAAAAAACTATATTATATTTAGTTGTTTAGGCTTCTGTATATCTTCCTGTACGTTTTCTGGTTTTTTTTCCTGACTCTTAAAAACTTGTACTTAATGGCTGTTTCAAATGGACATTAAATAAAAGAAGGATGTTCTCTGATTTTTGCCGAATACCATACACCCAAACCCACAAACACCCACACGCACGCACCCACACACACACGCACCCACCCACACACACACAAGCTTGGATATCCTGTTTCCTATATAGAGTAAGAAAACAGAAAAAGAGAAAAAGCTATAGATGAATGCTCTGCATGCTCTGGAGTGGAAAGAAGCTCACCTCAGTGCTGCCCTCTGCTGGACAGGACTATGTGCTGCAGGAGTGAGTCGACTACTCTCTGAACCCACAAAGCCACTGTCTGTCTCAGGAGTTATGACCCCATCCTATAGAACCACAAGCACCACAAACTAATCACATCTGTGACTTTCTAAAAGGACGTCTTTCACTAATATTAATGGTATACAACAGAACACAATGCAATAAAATTACATCAGGCTCTTAGATTTCTGTCACTGACCTGAGGGGCTGCTCTCAGGACCCCATCACGCTCTTTAGAGGCCCTTTCCTCCAAGTTTGCACTCTCTCCTAGGCTGCTATGAGGCTTCCTGCTACTTGCAGGTCTCATCTCACTGTCCTGTTGTCCTAGTAATATTGTGGCTGGGAGAGGGGCTGCTGGGAGAGTTTCCATAGAGTTACACCCATGTGAATGACTAGAAGGGCAGGAGAGGAAGTCTGCTGTTGGGGACCTGAAAGAGAATGAGAGAGAGAGAAGAAGAGACAGAGTTTGACAGAAAGTAAACACAGTTAGGTACTGACACGGACAAGAGTTATGCCTTATGTTTTCCTGTATTATTCAAAAGTAATTCTGTAATCACACACTTAATTACAGTTCAAGTTAATTACGTTTACACTTCATTTACAGTACATTACAGTTTTGAGCCTGCGTTTTTGACGTTTTCGATGTCAAGCACTGACAAAAGTCGTACCAAAAATAAAAGGATGTTTTTTTCTATCTGCAAAATAAGACTGTATGCATAACAATTTCAGCAAAACTTTTCATCACATTCAAATCATAACAGAATCTCTCTTCTACTTACTAACACAAATGTTAACTGAAAATTTAGAATCCACACTTCAGAATTCCTCATCTTGTTTCAAAGAGCTATGAGTGAAATAAAATTCATACGGAATTACACCATACTTTTGTTAACATCTGAAACTTTTAAGAGTGAATGAAATGAAAATTTCACAACCATCCTGTAGGTCAAGAACTGACCTGCATTATCACTGGACACTTTTCTTATAACAGCTTGCTACAGATAAAGGAGAGAAGAGACAGACTTTTGCGATGGAGTTTCAGACTCACGGCTGGACTGATTTGCTTGAGTCTCCTTCATCTTTAGTCCTCCACTGCTGCCCATCTTCTATCCTATCATTCCTTGCTGGCTGAGGAGGGGAATCCCTAAACTCCAGAGAGTCTTGAGTGTCCTCACACGGCCCTCTGTCCAGCAGCTTGGGCAGTTCCCTGAAGTTCTGGAAGCTGAGACAAGAGACAGTGGAGTAAGATGAATCACGTAAATTTAGAACATAAATTCTGAACTGTGCTCTTCGTTCCAAATGTACTACTGATAAATGTAAACTTGAACTACTTTAACTTTGTACTGATATATTTAGAGACAATGTCCAATTAATGTCCCCTTAAAATCAGCTGCCAGTGTAGTTGTAATGCGTGATGTCCAAGTTGGGAGTTATAGTGAAATGCATCAGCTTTCCCTGTGCTACTGAGTTTTCTATCACTATATAAAGGAAACACCATGGTGCCACTGTTGTTGAGTGAGTGTGCACATGTTCAGAACAGAATGATAAGGGCTTTGTTCAGTCATGTCCTTTGAATATCAAAGTAAATGTTACAACAGCATTGAGAAATTATGTTATTAATGGAGAAAAGTACATTAAAAAGCAGAAATAGATCATTTCGGTTAAGGCTTAAGGTAATAATCGACACTGGGGCCTGATGTGTTCAGCATTGGCCTGATGAAATGTGGCACGGCTGAAAAGGTTGTATTGAGAGTGCACACAGGTTAGAGGCCAAAGGTCTTAATGTTCTTACTGGTCCATGAGGCTACTGAAGTCCTTCTCCACACGCTGGTGTTTCTGTTGCAGGGGATTGAGAAGAGATGGAAGTATCTCCTCCTCGTCCTCCTCTCTGTCTCCAGCACTGTCTTCACTGACAGAACTCACCTCCAGCCCAACCATGCCCTCTGCATTGACTGAAGAGACTGGGCTCTGATCAGAAACAGAGGGGAGAGGATTAAGACCACAAAATATAGTTTATAGTTCACCCTAAGGGGAATTACACCCATCCAATGACATATTTCAATGAATGAGATGTAACAAAGGTCATTCAGAGTGTTTTGATGTGATATTATGCATTGTAGAGAAACTTGCTGACTTGCTGATTTATTAATAGTGGTGGTGATAGGAGCCAGACGTTTGAAGAGTTTAATGCCTCTAAAAGCTTCCTCAAAAAACGTTATTACATGAAATGGTTACAAAAATGTCAGACACATTGTTTTAAGAAAAAAAAAAGTTTTAAAAGCCATGCATGATGAAGAGGTACATGCAGGATGCTGTAAAGCAGAACAGTCTCCTAAGCAATATTTTTTAGACATATCACTATAATACCATTATCAACTTCACAGACACACTCAGAAGACATGGGTAGGTTCACTGGTGGTTTTGGATAGTAAATAAAATGGCTAATTCTTTTTATAGCAGATATTGCAAACTCTGGTTCATATCACCACCACTATTAATAAATCAGCAAGTCAGAAAGTTTCTCTACAATGCATAATTTCACATCAAAACACTCTGAATGACTCAGTTTACATGTCAATGATGTAATTATGTGGATATTTTGATATTAATTCCCATTTAATGACTTGGATGTGGGATGAGCAGCCTGGAAGACGTTTTGGGGATGTATTTACGTAAAAGATCTTTTCTGGTGCCTGTGATCAATGTTTAAAATTCAATGTTTAATGATCAAGAGGCAAAAACTGGACACCAAACATGTCTTGGCTGATCGATAGTATCTGACGTAAGTGGAAAATTGTATAAATTTGATTTTCAGCCTGAACCATTCCTTCAAACCATTTTAATAACAACCATTTCAGTTCATCCAGTGCAGTAAATGAACAACTTCAATCCTGATGCCTACCACTGTAGCATTTCAGGGTATTCAGCTGTATTCAAAGCAAATTAATTACTTTATTACACTCAACCTACTTTCCCATAGAGTGCTGTATGTAGTTGTACCTCTATACCACCACCTAGTGTTCACACTGAAACCTGCATTTATCTCACACTCTCTCTCGTTGAAAAGCGCTGAATTATTCATGGCACATCAGTTGAAGGTTATATTGCCCACTTTGTCCTGTAGATATGTGAGTGCAGGCTGCCGAGTGGGTTTATAGTACCTCAGGTTGAGGCTCTGTGTCATTCAGAGACACAGAGAGTTGGGTGGTGTGAGGAGGTAGGTTTGGGCCAGGGTCTGACATGTGCCGGCTCTGTTCAGACTGTTCTATTCTCTCCTTCATTTCTTCCAATCGCATCCCTGAGCTGAAAATCAAACCTTCAAGTTCCCTAAAAAGCACATACAGCAAAATGTTACATATAAGGATCTGTGGCCATTTTATTATTTGCCAATAAAGGGGAAAAAGTAATAATTGCATTGTCTAGTATTGGAATTACAGACTACAGCAAATAACGTGGCACCACATTTGTGCTTGCACACAAAATAACACATGTATAGTCTCTTGTGGTGGGTATTTCCATTCTTCTCAATTTGATTAAAATGGATAGCATAGAGAATAACACCACAGCCCCAAATACTGGAGATAGGATTTGCAACTCCCTTTTCAGGTATTAATACCACTTCTATACCAAAAAAAGGTGTTGGCTAAAAGTCATAACACTACACTGGCCTCCAGCTGCAAATGTAAATATCTAAAATATGAATCTAAAAAAAAAAATTTCAAATATGTATGTTTACTACAATTACCATGTCCGATTTTACAACGTAAGATTAATTAACAAGCCATCTTTAGAGTTTTAACTCGTCTTATGCTCACTGCACTTCATGGACAACACAGTGAACTTGTGTTACAACACAAAAAAGCAAAATGACCAGTTATTGATTTATGCATCACGACATTCAAACATTTATGTAGTCACCTGTCAGGGTCGAAATGTCCAGACTTGACTCCTGTCTGCTTCTGCAGCTGTTGATACTGGTCACGAGCATCTAGGTAAGCCCTCTCTAAGGACTCCTGCCCCTGGGCTAGCTGAGAAAGCCCCTGTTCACATAAACGAGGGCCAAAGCAATGTGTTAGAAAGCAGACAGGTTCTCAAATACACCCACACATTCACATGTACTCTGGATCTTACTCTTCCATGTGCTCAGAAGCCAGGAATGTGATAAAAGATAGCTGACGATACCTGTCTTTGCTCATATGGTCTAAGTTTTCCACTCTTTAGAATCTCTTCAAACTCCTCAACCTGAACAAACACAATACAAGTAACATGAACAAAAACAGCTTTTTCACAAGTGAACTACTTATAATGACAATGAAACTTCACATACACTGTCACAGCAATAGGATAAATGTTTGGATGTTCTAAACATCAGCACCTGTAGCTGAAATCTCTGTACATGATTGGAAAGGGCCTCAGTTAGCTGTATGGCAGCCAGAGAGACAGGCGACATGGAAGAGATGGGGTCTACAGACAAACGGAGGGTGGGTGTCAAAAAAAAACAAGTATTACTGAATACACATGAGACAACCTATTCAGCTTAATAAAACTGTTTGCTTTTTGTTTTGGTTCTGGTCATTTGTTAGACTTTTGGAAGATTCTAAAACAAGCACCAAGTTATGGTCACTCTTACCTGAATCAATTCTCTCTTGAGTTGAATGAACATTGTTTGCACTAAGCTCCACCCTCTGAGCCTGGGGAAAACTCAGCATCATGACTTTTGACCCCTCCTGTAGAACACCTGGCAGAGTGGGCTGACTGGGCTTGGGTGGGTCAGAGTACATGCCCACCTGAGTAAAAACACATATCAGTTATGTAAATGCAGTATAGAGTCGTCTAAAACCAATTTTCCATAATAGCAGAAAAAAAAAAAACACACACACAACTGTAAAGCAGAGATGGGCACACAGTATATCTGCCAGTGTGTACACGCAGGATTGCGCTCCAGAGGTTTTACCATTTTTATTTAGAGCTAAAACTAAACACTACTGGTGAAAGGCACTAAAGAAAAAGAGTAGCCTAACCATAGTTTAGACAGTGAGCTTAGATTCCTGTTTTTATAAGCCTTTCTCTGAGATTTACTGCAACCTAGTGGCCAAGCCACAAAAGAAGATGAAGGAAGCTGGAGACAAAATGGCTCATAAAACTATGCAAATAGTGAGCCTTTTACACTGCTGCTCAGAGAACTGGGCTATGATAATGGCCCATGCGTAATGCATTCCATACAGCGGAGAATGAGAGAAACGGAGAGAATGCAGGCACGCATATAGACACACTGAAAAGACGAAACACAACAAACTAGGGCTGCCCTGTGATACCCAAATGAAATTCATTCATGCAATCTGACAAAAATGACCTCTATTTTGGTCAAAAAAAATGCAGGTCAATGTTTAACCAGATCATGTTATTGAGTCACTGTCATCATCATTATTGATACATTTTTATTTCAATATACTGAGAGCCATATCACAATCACAACATACAGTAATATCATCGCAATGCTAGTATTTTGTCCATATTTTGCTGCCATACAAACAGCACGTCTTATGCAAATGCAAATACACATAAGCATGCAAGTGAGCCTCCACAACCAGCCTTACCTCAGGGCAGAAAGTGACAGTGTGACCGCTCCTTCACAATAAGCCTTTCAAACACTAAATCACACCAACACTCACCCCTGTATAACCCCTGTGCCTGTCTGAATAATATACTACTCTTCCCTTTTCCATTATCACACACCAGGGACGCTCAGTATAGTGTTTGTTAATCGTCATCACGTCATCTGCCGTCACAGTCTTGCCATCATAGGAGTATGAAATAAGCACATTAGTCTCTAAGCAGTCACTGAATGTGTCACCGTGTGCTGTGAGCACGTAGACCAATCTGATGTTCATTTTGTGTTTGGATTAATAAAGGCATTCACGTAACTATGGATAGTTATGATCAGAAATAATCCAGGCCATGCTGTAAGTGTGTAACATCAAGGGTTCACTAATGTGTTAGAATATATTTGAAGGTACAAAAGTGCAAAAAGTCAGTGATCACCTTCAATTATTTAATTTCTAGTCAAACTGCCATCAAGTAATTAATTTTTTAGCATCAGGAAAAAAGCAGAAGACATACATTTTAACAGAAATTTACACAACAACTAAACAGCTAAATATATTGTCATTTTCAGTATTTAGTGAGTCCACCCTTCGCCTTTATTGCAGCTTCCATACTTTGGGGAGACTTGCTTTCAGTTTTTCAAAGAAATCTGCCAGGATAGCTTTTCATACCATCAAAGTTCAGTCTTAGAAGATGGTTGCATTTTCTGATTCTCACAATCCTAGAAAACCCAAACACATTCCATGTTGTTGAAATATGGGCTCAGAGGTGGTCAGTCCAATGCTCTGAGAACATAGCAGCTCCTTTGTTTAATTTGCAAATTTTCTTGTTTTATGTTTTTTTCATTTCTCAGTAACAGTTTCTTGACAGCTACACATCCTTTTAGACACATAGCACTGAGCTGACTTCTCACAATGAAAGGATGGACAGAAAGCAAGAGTGGCACTTGATTTTCTTCTGCCTCTCAAAGATGAAAGCTTTAAGCACTGTTTATCTGAAGGGGACAGTTTTGGTGGTCTACCAGGTCTTGCATGGCTGTTAGGAGTCCCAATTTATCTATATCCTTAATATTTTGAAGTCCATTTTTGGAAAATCCTATTCTTTTCACTTCTTTTTATTTGGCTGCTGATTGCCTTATATCTAATCTGAGAAATCTCCTGAAAAATAAATAACTTGCATTTAAAGGCTTGAAATTAAGTAGGGTGGTCTCTTACTACCGAATATTACAATAGCGAAATATATCAATATAACTTCAATAAACTACTTTTTCCATATCATGCAGCCTTATCACACACACTACACCGAGGCAAGACACTGACTGCAGTACCACTGAAACCTCAGTTACTGCTTATATAGCTGTAAATGTAAGCTTGACATTCCCCTTAGCAAAGTTTGGAACAGAGGCTTCTGTGAAGTCTGATTAGAATGAATGACATGCTACCACCCACACCATTTATACCTATAAAAGGAAGGACAGATGGCCAGGGTGTGAGGGGGGCTAAGCGGCTTTTAATTAGCATTACAATGACTGCAACCAGACGGAAGAGCAGCAACCAAGAAGAGAGCTAGCAGTATAATTCCAATAATGATAAACAACTAAGGTGCTCAACGACTGTCCATGACATGTTAAATAACAAAGGACCTATGACATTACACTGTTTTCGTCCTATCGCCCTATTAAGCATAGCATCTCTTTATACAGCACTTAAATGAGCACTGAATTAAGTATTGATTATAATAAAGTTCTGTGTTGAACTCTGTTCCTTTTTCTCTAGGTATCAACAGCGACTTTTTCTTTCTAGCAGTATCTGAACTCAGGACCGGCTTTCTCTCTAACCTATTGGTAACTAGCAAATATACTTTCTCTAGATAGACAAAGCACTTCTTGTAAGTCGCTCTGGATAAGAGTGTCTCCTAAGTGCTGTAAATGTAAATGTAGCGCCATGTAGCACATGACTCTGTGGCAGACCAAATGAGTGACACTGCTCTGAGCAGAACGGGTTTCATTATTTCAGGCTATATTTTTGGCCTAAGAGAACTTTACCACAAACCACTGGAATGCAGTCAGCAGAACTGTTAGAATCATGCAGTCAGAAATGTGTGCCTCTTATTTCTGACGAAGTATATAAAATTTAAAATGTTATATATTGGAAACCATGCTGAAAATAAACACATTTTCATGTCATTAAATTGTCGTGACCAGAGTGAGACTGAAGAGAGGCCTGTAGCTTTTCCTCTTGATTGAATATTTTGGTTGTGCTTAAACATGAGCTGTAATCATGAGAGTTACTGAAGAGCTGCCTGTATGTGCTTTGTGTTCAGCCTGGCGGGGATTCACATGCAGAACAGGGAGCTCTATAAATAACTCCTTTATAGGGGACAAATAAGAGAGGGAGATCAGTGCTATCACTGCATGTACTACTGTTTGGACTGTAAAAGAGGGCTGAGAATTAAATATGCAACTTTTCTTTCATGCTTATGTATAAGTACTAATTGTATTTTTAAAAGGCACATATGGGGGTGCATGTAAACAAACACAAACATAAAAGCACAATCAAACCTTAGCTTCCAAGCGTAGCCGGTCAATAGTATTCTCAGCCTCTGCATACTTGGTTAGAAGTCTATTATAGTCCTCCTTTGGGAGAGAGACAAAAAAGGAGGGGAAGAGAAAAAGAAAGAAAAAGGAACCAAATATTACTGCTTCACTCAACCTTTTTCACTTCTTAGATCAACACACAGACATTGAGTTCCATACCCCATTAACTACACACAGTTCCACATAATTCTACAATAAAATGGATTCTCATTGGAGACACATATCCATGAAAGTTCATGCTCTCCTCTTTGTACCTGAAGCTGCTGGACCAGCGTACTGGCCTGCAGGGCGCAACGGAACTCAGCCGGCACTGTACTGTTCAGGGATCCCTGGGGGTCACCAGGGGCTGCAGTGTCTGACAGCCCTTCGGTACTGCTCAACAGAACCTCCCTCACAATGTCAGCAGGGGATCTGTACACCAGGGGAGCTTCTGGCTTTGAATCTCTCTTGCGAGGAGGCCTCCGGCTCCTGGGGGGCTTGTAGCCGCTCTTAGGGAAACGAACCTTGGGTTCTACTTTGGAAAAATCTGGTAATGGATGACTCATCTGCCCCTTCCTGAGAATACACACACAATATAAACAATTACACTGCACTTGTGGGTGGTGGATTAAAGTCAAATAGGTAAAAATATTTGTCCAAACCTAGTTTTTAAGGCTGTGGCACACTGAGCAAGCACTCAACTACAAACACCAACATTCTAATGTAGGCAGTCGGCTTTAAACTGTTTCTTAATAAAAAGTGACAGGGCAAACAAATTCAATAGAATAGAGGAAGACACTGTACAACAGTGGGAACAAGATGAGAACACTGTAGAACAGTGTGAATGCAAACATCAGTCTAGAACAGTGTAAATGGGGGGGGGGGTTCTAAAACAGTGTGACAGAAGAACATTCTAGAACAAAGTTAATTGGGGCGGCGCAATCTAGAACAGTGATTCAGGCAGAACATTCTAGAACAGCGGCTATGACCTAATGACCACTATTTGTATTTTTGGGGCACTTTTAAGTATTCTGGCTTTCCAGTGCATGTCTGAATGGTAAACAAAATTGAGGGTACTATTAAACACCTATTGAATGCACTATTAAATCTCATTACTACGCAACAGACATGTTCCGTTAAGGTGGCTACAAACCCACTGAAATTTACACTCTCTGGAGAAACACCCCAAAAAAACAGCAGCTTTGTACAGTTAAAAACAAAGACCCCAATTCTGTTTAACACACAGCAGAACCACTGACTGCTGACTGCAGGTTACTGCAAACATGGACGAAGAACTACTGTGTAACCTAGTCAAGCGTGTTACTTTTTCCATGTCCCCTGCACGTTTTTTAAAAATGTTACACCCATGCCTACGGCTACGAATGAGAAGCCAACTTCAGCCTCGCTCAGGTAGCTAATGTGCCCCAAAAGTGTCCCAAAAATATGAATAGTGGTCATTAGGTCACAGCCGCTATTCTAGAATGTTCACCCTCAAGCACACTGTTCTAGAATGTTCTTCCCCAGTTGACTTTGTTCTTGAATGTTCTGTGTTCACACTGTTCTACAGTGTTCTCCTCTTGTCCCCACTGTTTGTTTATGCGACTGGCAAATAGTGACGTAGGCTAATTTTGAGAAACTGTCTGAATTCATTTATTAATCCATGTACTTTATTGCTTTTTGGTAAACTAAATAGTTCACTACATTATCAGATGTTCCTCGGAACATCATAAAACAGTGTGAAAGAGGGACAACATTCTAAAACACTGTGAAAGGTGGAAAACATTCTAGAACAGTGCAAATGAATGAGAACATTCTAGAACAGTGTGAATGGGAGAGAACATTCTAGAGTCTCCTAACAATCACAATGAACTATGGTACATTAACCCAACACTTAGGTTTGATGGTGTTTGCTGGAGAATGCTGGGTCAGCATGTTCTGACCTTTAAACGTTTTTGGGTCAGTTTATCTGACCCTTTCACCAATGAACCCACCTAACATCCTTAAGCTCAGTGTGAGAGGGTTTGGAGGGTCTGTGTCCACGATGCCTCCTGTGATGAGGTGTGCTGAGTGGAGAGGAGTCTGAAGAAGAGCTTTGTACTTTAGCCGTGTGCTGCGCAGGGCTGGAAGACTGCTGAGACTCCTTAAGTGCAGAGCTTATTTTTCGGGGAGAGGGGATAGGAGGCTGGTGGTGTGTAAGGAAAGGCCCAACAACCTTTCTCTCTAATTCATCTTCTTTCTTTCTGCTTGATCTTCCAAGTTGAGGCTTCACCTCCTCAAATCTGACAGGCTGGAAAGTTCTTGGAGAACAGCTGAATCGGGTGCTGTGAGACTCAGCTATGCTCTCTGCGTGTGCTAGTTCTGGGGATGTCTCAGCTGCTTCAATTCCAGAGTTACACGCCTGCTCCTCTGAGGAGAGCTGAGGGACGAAGGGAAGAACAGGAGCATAAGGAGTGTTTGTGGAAGAAAGAGGTGAGGAGGAGACATGGAGCCTCTCATTCAATATAAATTCCTCATCGCAACAATTTTGTGAGCCTGCTAGCAATCCTGAGGTGCTCCTGCCACTTCTTGAGGTTGTAATGTTATTGCTTCTTACATTACTGTTGTAACCATGGCTCTCAATGCAGTTATACTGCAGGTCCATTTCCCCTCTGACAGAAAATGATGGTTCTCTGTGACCTTTAACCTCCTCAGTCTCATCATTAGTCATGCTCTTCACTCTCTCTCTCACTGGACTTGAGTCTGATTGAGGTCTATGGATCTTCAAACTCTCTGGACTTTCCTCATCAAGTTTCTGTCCATCCTCATCATCACTCCAGTCCTCCAAGGCAACACTGTCATCACCATCATCTGGTAAAGGGCAAAGAAAAAGATTTTAACAGGCTACAAAATGAAGGGTATAACAGTTGCAGTGTTTAGAAACATTATGTACAACCTAAATAAGTTGTCATTATGAAAAAAACTTATAAATATGTTAACACAATGTAATGTTAATACAAGTCTATTACCCCTTGGAAAGGGAAAATCACTATGTACTGCTATGAAGACCCAGAGTGTAATCAAGTACTATAGCAAATGGACTGAAAGAGGCTGGTACTGTTTGAGGGTGAGGGACAATCATCTCCTGTGCGCTGGGAGAAAGGCTCAGAGTCCAACAGTTCACTCAAGTGGCAGCCAAGTTCTTCCAGTGCAGGAGGTGGGCCTTCTTCAGGCTCTGGGGTCCCTGTATCCAATAACAAATCCTCTTCTTCCTCCAATGCAATTTCTTCTTCTTCATCCACCTGAGTGATGAAGGGCATGGTTGGGTATGGTAATTCAAATGTATGGTAATACAGATAACCAAATTCATCGTAGTTTTAATTTACTTAATAAGATATATCTCGCTGTTGTCGGAAGAAAACCTCATATCTCCAAAATGGTAACTTTACAGGAGAAGAAAAAAAGCATACTTTACTTTCAATGTAAGTCAATGGAACCAGACATTTCTCCAAGTAATTTTGGACCATTTCTTTAAGTCCATTCTTCATGAAATTTACAAACAATGTAAAGGCCAACAGGCATTTTTATATTATGTCAAAAACTGAAACATGACAAAATGGAAATAAGAGGTTTTCTTCCGACAGCAGCGATATATATATATATATATTTTTTTTTGGGACAAAAAATTTTATAAATCCTATTTTACTTACTTACTTTACTCTTTCACTGCATGTGCAACACAAGCAGCTAATACTGTCTCATATTAAGCAAAATGGGGAGGGTATTTCCAGTATTTCCAGACAAAAGAATTAAATAAATATTGTAAAGTGTAAACTGTGCTCAGAGGGATCTTTTGTAGGTCAGGTATGGATCATCTCTCAGGCAATAATCAAATTAAACCAGGGTTGTTGTTTAATCCTAAGAATATAAAATATTTTCTTTTTGAGATTTTTAAACATTATTCATTTAAAAGTGAGAATATTGGAATAGCAAAATGGTTAAAATGCCTATTCCTAGTGATGGGGTGATGAATTTGGGTTTTACAAAATGGACTGCCAATAATATCACTTCACACAAAAGCCAGTACAACAACCTACATGCTGGCCTGCTTACCTCCCCGAAGCTCTCTCTTAGACCAATAATGCCATTCTCATCCATTTGGCTCTCAAAGTCTTCTTCTCCGCCTTCGTCCCAGCTGAGGCGTGAACCGTCTGGACTGGGAGGTGAGGAGGAGTACCCCGGCGTAGGAGTCCAGATGAGCATTCCGGCTCGGGTGCCGTTCCTTCTCCTTTCCATTCTCCCTCCTGTTTTTCCTCAGCTTCTCACACCACATTGACTAATCACACTGGAAGGTTTTTGGTCCATTTCCTAACGGTCATCTCAGAATCTTCCGTTGCCGCCATGGCTAATAAACCAGCAGCAGGTTCTGAGCATTAGAACAGGCTGGTTAATGTCTACTCAGGTGCAGCCAAGGTGATGAAACACAAATCTGAATCACAGTGTCATTCTAAATCATTCTATTTTATTTGGCATTTCCTATTAGTAAAAATACTCTAAATAGCAAAATAGAGTCACATACTATCCAAAACATTCACAAACAGGGGTTTGGACAGAACTGTACAACTTGGACAAAATAGCACATTGCAATTATTACTGTAATAGTTTTCACCCAATTTTGTCCCTAAATTTAGTTGTAGCCATTCTACGTGTCAAGTAGGTCTCCCCCATCACATGATGCTACCCAGCTGGGAGGGCAAGGGCTAGCACATGCTTTCTCCAAGATATGTGAAGTGCCACTCCAAGTAGCACAGAGCCACTGGATAGTTCAGCGTGCTTGGAGGAGAACACTAACTGCTAATTCTGTTATGTCAGCTAACAGAAGACCCACAGAAACTCATCTGGACTCAGTGAACTTGATCAGAATGCTCACAGCACATAATAAAACGATTTAGTGATTCGACTGAGCGCTCATTTGGATAATGAAGCCTTCTGCAATATCATTGTTTCAAAGGCCAACAATAAACAATCAATATACTCTATACAACATACAACCCTATTTACAATCATTTGATAACAGAACCAAAATATTCACAAATTATATCAAAAAGAAGGAAAACATAGAAAACAAACCCGTAGATAACAAGGGTGTACATAATGTCCAGAAGAAAACAAATAGAAGCCCAACACAAAATCCCAAACTAATTCATTACAAATGTAAACTCACTGTAATCAATGCTGCCATTCATACTGGAGTGAGCACTAACGAACCGTGAACAACCGCACAGACTGACAAGCTGTACTACAAACAGCTGCTCCCTAATTCCAACGCTGAGCCTCTGAATAAATCAGTGTAGCAATGTTGTTGTTAGGGCACATTTTCAAACCTGTCCTGATTCGATAATTTCCAATGCTGCTCACTGCAGTTTTTTTTGACAGCAAAAACAGATTTTATAATGATGATCATAAACACTGGCAACTTCAGTTGCTGGTTCGGTTTAAAGCTCTGTCTTCATGACAACTTTAAAAACCAGAGCACACAGTTATGATACACCAATCAAACATTTCTGTTTGTTTGTATTTGCTGGTGTTCTGTGGCTTTAAGATGATGACTAGTACCAGTGTAGTGCCAGTGCCACAATATAATGCATGTACACTGGATTGACAGAACAGCACTATAGTTGTTAGAATTGATGCATTAACCAAAACTGCTTTATTGTTACACCAACTAAATGCTAAGGGTGGGCAATATGAGGTTATGCGCAGTGAGCCCAATGCACATTTTTCTGAGCATATCATACAAGTTGTCATTACTCACTGAATAACTGCACATTTGGTTACAAAGAGAGCATAATTAGTCCTGTTTAATTGGATTAAATAAAAATAAATAAAATGATTGTACTCATAGGTTTTGATAACTTTTTTTGAATGTGGTGGTGGTGTCAGGAATTTTGTCTGGTCCAACTTTTCAAAGCTCAGAAAAATTAAATATCATAATCTGCATTGTGTATCATCAAAACATCTTCATTGTATTTTTGCAGTATTGCCCACCCCCACTGGGTGCTAAGAGCCAACTGTATCAAACCGCTTTCATACAGCATATGGTTACTGCCCTATAGCACAGGTTTCTTGTTCTGTGCTCTGTGCATATACTTTTCTCATCTAGTAAACTTTGTCACACAAAAAAGTCTGAGTGAAAATATATTATTATGCTAAATATAAGTTAAATATTACATTTTTCTACAACTTTTAGTGTGCAATTTCTATTTTTTGCTGAGTTTAACCTATTGGAAAAAATAAAATATGACATAAAATGTGCCAACTTTTGCACAGGCCTCATTTTATGTATTCATTTTTTCCCCTAACATGTTCTTTACAGCAAATAAACAGCAATTGTACATTAAAAAAAAAACACGGAGGTGTGTTCCCTGTAGAGGATGTACAGCTATTTTGACTTAGGAAGTCAACAAAATTTGACTGGGGTGCTTAAACTCTTGCATACAATTGTGATTGTACTCATGTACACTGTCAGGCAGAGCTAGGGGTGAAACATTTGGAGAAAATAACTAATTGCGATTTTTCTGACCAATATTGTGATCGCAATTTAAATGCAGTTATTATCTATAGACTAATTTCTAGGCCTGTTTTTTGGCCACGAAGGCCAGAATATTCACTTTTTCTGCTTTGAGGCTTGAACACTGAGTGAGCCAGACTACTATTTAGCAGACTACCCCTTAGCTGTGATTGTGATATATAAAATTGCGAATTGAAAATTGCACCCTTTAAAATTGCAATTTAAATGTAGAAACTATTAGTCTTTCAGCCCTATCACTATCTAGACCGTCTATACTTATAAATGAAAAAATGACCCTTTTAGCTAAAGATTTTTCAAGGGCGTTGTCACTATTCTGAGACACAATGCAACCCCTGCCCCCCTCCCTATACAAACACAAACTTTTCTTCTGTAAGCAACATGAATGCACAAACTGCACTCACTTTCATTTGGTGCACACACCCTAGAACACACGGCTTGTGTCAAGGTGTCAAACTATGAACCAGTGGTGTGACATTTCGCAATAAAATGTGCCAAGGTGGTAATACTCACCAAGAGCCCGTGTAAAATGCTATAATGTCTCATTAGGATGAAGACCAATTCCTTAAGAAAGCATGTCAACCACACAAGCTTCCGGCAAAACACACACATACACAGCTAATCCCTGGTACGTTGAAGAGTTGGTGGATGATGACAGCGTTCTGCTAATTAAACGCTTGTCTAGATTTTCATCTGCTCCCCCCGGCTGCCAGGCCTGTCAAACACTGTTGCGGTCTCAGCTAAAAGCGACAGAAATTCCAACAACAAAATCACACTCTGACTGCACTACCAGTGGCAGCATTTAACAGAGTGCACACTCAAAGAATGCTGAGCAGGTTTGTAAAGAAGGCCGCGCTGTCGTAAGCTGCTTATGTCTCCAGGGTCACTGGTGAGGACACAGACAGAGACTGAGAAAAGTAATGCGCTGAATTTAGCTTACTTGATTCAAATGTGCACATCAATTCCACATGTATAAAACATCATCAACACAATTATCACCAAAAGTGAGTAAACTGAAACACAAAATTGTGCTGATGTCAAATTTCACTTGTCTGGAAATGATGTACACACATTTGAATCAAGTAAATTCAAATCATTGCATTTTCAGTGTGTAAGAGGAGGTAAAGTAGTGAGGAGATGGCATGAAACCACCTTTTCTTTTCTGATCGGTATCGACTGATATCGATCCGCTATATTCTTTTAAAATTTAAAAGCTTTAAAATTTTGTTTTACTGATTTAAAATGAGCTATTTTGACCTGAAGCACTTCGTTAGAATCACCATCTAAACAAACCATCCTCAGATATTCTCTACTACCATACAGGAAGATGTTACAGCCAAAAACATGATGTATATAAAATAATATACAAACCATATATATGTAGAACATATCGTCTCTGTCCAAAGAAAAACAAGTATCTCCAAAATGGCAGCTTTACAGGAGAGGGCAAAAACTTTCACTTTTAATGTAAGTTAATGTAAAATAGATTTATTCCAAGACATTTTGGAGCATTTCTCTTGTCCATTCAATATGAAATTTTCAAACAGTGCAAAAGGCAGCTGCTGCGCTCAAATTATGTAGAAACATGAAAATCAAAAGTGAGCATATGCAAACATATACTTTTTTATTCAGTTGAAAGTCTTTTGCATGAAAAACATTAAAAATCACTTGTAATCAGTGCAAGTGTGGACAAAGCTAGACTAGGGCTGAAAGATTGATTGTTTTTACATTGAAATCGCAATTTAGATTTTAGGCTGCATTATTAACAATTTATCTTATCAAGTTTTAACTGGGGAAATTTAACCTACTATCCCAGAGCTTGTGAAAAGCCCCTAAATTTACAAAAATAATATTTTTTTTCAGTTGCTGTCACAATGTTGTTCAGAAAAATCACAATTACACACAACATTGTTTGGCGCCAAATTACGCTATTATTATTATTTTTATACGCCATTAAAAATAAAGGCTAATTCTAGTATAATTAGGTTGCATGTGGCTGTCGTTTGTTAGCATGTGATCTGCTTCAGTTGGCTTTATATTTTGATGTGCTACAATTCTGTGATATATCATGCTGGATTTGTTCTTTTTTTCCCTCATATTTCCAATCTAGCATCATTTGCTGTTATTGGCCCAATACCGATACTGGGTACTGGATCAGTACCATCTCTAAAAAAACATTAAAAATTAAAAAAAAAAGAATGAAAACATCCTGCTCAGCTGTGAGTCTTACTTTTAAGTACAGCAAAATCCAGATGACAGACACCACTTTTAAAGGATGACTATGTTAGGAAAAGAACTGCACAATTCTCAGTACAGCTTTAGCGCTCAGTCCCCTGTGAAAAACTAAATCTATGCAGCCAGCTTCACAGGTGAACGGATGCCTGGTTTCTGTTTAAAGACTCCAGTAGTACACTGGAGGCTGTCTGAGCCCCTCCATCGTTCTCTACTGCTTCCTCTCTTCATGCTTCACTATGTTTCAGTGAAAGTAACGTTTAATTGGCCCTTAACAGTCTTGAAGAGACTATGGTAAATTGAATTAGTAGTGTATTTTTGATCGGGTACATCATTTCTTTCACACAATATATGCGCACTCATTACAATCTGTTGCATTTATTTCTTTTAAGTGAAGCAAAAAGAAAATCCACATTCATCTTTTACAAAGTTTGGGATTCATTTTTCATGTTTGGTAAAAAAGAAAGATAACCAGGCAAGTTTACATGCGTAAGAGTTTCAAACAAAAAGCTGTGAATTCTTATGAGCTTACCCAGTTACATCCTTATGGTCCAACATATGAATCCTAGAGATTACCATTTTTGAATGTGGATTTTTTCTGCTTGTTGGTTTTTGGAATTCTTTACTTAAAATCGATGCACCAGAAATGACGCTGTCTAAGACAGCACCTGGTCTCCCATTACTTCATGCAATTTATGCCTTTTAATTGACGGCAAAAAACATGACATTCGTAAGACCGCTAACAGGTTACTTAAAGGAGTATCAAGCAGTTGGATAGGCTTTAGCATTAACAAGTCATACGCACAAGTATGAGTGGCGGGTGGTACTGATTAAATTCAGGATTATAATATTTTACAGGTCTATCACAGTGATAGACAATATATAAATCTGCATCAATAAAGTTAGTGAAGCTATGCTTGCTGAGTGCTGGTATTAAAAGAATGTTACACAAAAACAACACACGTTGATTTGACTGGCCAATGTTGTTCTGTCCTGCTTCTTTTAAAATTATACCAAAGGGAACCTTATATGGTATTGCAAATGTTAACCAGACAGAAAGCACGTTTCCAGAAAGCAAGCTCATTTTTTATGTACTTTTAATTGACTTTTCAAAACTTTTCACGTCTGAACCACCCAGAGAATTACATACATTGCAGTTGCTATCTAGCAATACCTTAAAACCTAAAAAAAGACTAAAACCTATATTGTTGTGTGATACCAATACTGGCATTTAAGTGTAGAAGACAGACTGGCTGGCACACCCATAGCATACAACTATCGAAGCTCCTTTCTTTATGAATGTTCAACATGTTATTCCACTGCACCTTAATGCAGACCAGACATCTAAAACTTAATCAAGTAGAGTGGAGTAGGGCTAAGCTCTCGGAAAGTGTTCTCTTGCAATGAGAAGATATGTGGAGCTCTGTGAAAGTAATTATCTCTCTTTCTAGGGAGGAACTGCTCAATAAGCCACTTACCAGCTTTTGCATTCAAGCTATAGAATGCAGCTCCATTTGCTGAAACCAGCCAGGTAGCTTATCATCAAGATCGAGTCAAGATCGATTTCCCTCCACCAAAGTCACAGCAACCAAGTGAAGCTGTTTAAAGGGGAATTCCACTGATTTTTCAAAATTGCTGTATAATTCAGTCATAAGATGTAAACAAAGTCAGTCAGGTTGGTTTGATGTGAAACGATTCATTGAGGGGAAACCTACCAACCCAGATTTCTTTACAGTGGTGGTGACAGGAACCAGAGATCTCCATGTCTACAACACAAACACAGCCATTTTATTTACTATACATAACCACCAGCGAACCTACATGTGTCTTCTGAGTTTTTATATGTAATGCTGATGATGGTAAAGTAGTGGAAAATGATGATGATTAAAAAATAAGTTTTCTTTGGGGACTATTTTGCCTCACAATGCTCTGCATGTACAGCTCTGCCATGAATGGCTCTTAAAATATACACTTCAGGCCAATTCCTTACCTCCAAACTTCAGTAACACAATGTCTCAGACATCAGGCAGCATATTCATAACCATATAATGTAATGGCTCTGTGAGGGAGATTTTAGATGCATTAAACGCTTTGGATGTCTGGTTTCTTTCACCACCACTGTGAACAACCCTGTCTCAGTAAGTTTCTCTATAACAGAGTATTTCACACCAAACCACTCTGAATGATTCTGTTCACATCTCAACCGTTTAACTACGCACAAATTTTTAAAAATTGGTGGAACTGCCCTTTAAAATGCTAAACCAAAGGCTTTGGAGAGTAAGCTGGTTGGAGGGCCAACTGAGATGGTATTAGTGATTAAGTCTGCAGACAAATTCACCAGTTTGAGACTTTTTTTCGGACTTAAGCTTACCTTAACTTCAGGTCCAAGTGCGGACAAATTCTGGCAAATTCGGTGTCCAAAAATACGCTCGCACATCAGGGAAAAAAGCAAAGGCGTCCAGTTAAATCAGTGAACCTGAAGCAGGCCTTCTCCGCGCTCTCCGTTGCCTTGAGAACGGCACACAAACTAATGACACCCACCCTCCCTCCCTCCCTCCCTCTCTCTCTCTCTCTCTCTCTCTCCCTCCTTCTCTCTCTCTCTCTGCCTCTATTACCAAGCGACCAAAGGAAACAAGCGCTTTTTACCCACTGCGTCTTCTTGAATGCAGCAGTCCATGTTTCCCTCAGAAACTGGAGCCACTTTCGGTTTTCTTTTCAAGTTCGGTCCTGCTCGCCTCAGTCCGCAGCTGGCATTAGTCGCCTTTCTTCTCTGTCGAGCTCCGTCTCCCACAAAGCCAAATCTCTCTCTCTCACTTTCTTGTCAGCAGTTTTTTTTCTCCACTCTCGACAACATCCGTGAAGCAGCACAGCGGCCCAGTACTTTTATCGTTCAGTGTGTGAGAGACTAAACTTCGCGCCTTGAAATACGAAGCAAAATAAAACAACAGGCGATCCTAACAAAACTTCAGTTGAAGAGCGAGCCATTGATTTGTGGGCGGCGCTTATTCTCACGATGGTAAACATGACGCTGAGCAGAGTTTTGATTGGCTGAGTGTTGGAATGGGGCGGAGTCAACGTCAGATATCATTCATGTAGTAGAAAACCATGCAGTTTTTGAAATCGATGTATATTTAAATTAACCTAACTTAACATACGTTACAAAAATACCTTACACAAACTTCCTCATTTACATACGCTTTCAAATTTACGTATAATTTTCGAGTAAACATTTTACGTTTAAAACGTACGTTTTAATTTGCATAAACATTTAGATCGATCGTATACACACACACACACACACACACACACACGCACACACACACACACACACACACACACTACAGGAGAAGACAAACATTAACATCAACATTAAATTTCCACACAATGTAAAGGTCAACAGGTGACTTCAAATTATGTCCCAAAATATATATATATATATATATATATATATATATTTATATATATATATATATAGACATAATTATATACTATATACACACTTTTTGTATCAAACCTATTTATTTATTTATTATTTATTTATGTATTTATGTATGTTTCTTGTGCCACATGCGGATATGTGACCTGCGGTTCAAGCGTTTCGATGAAAGCATGTATGCTCAAAAAAAGGTGTTAATCCTGATATCCCAGTACCTGTGCTGTCTGCTCAAAGCTAAGCACAGGCATTCATTTCTGAGGACTATGCCGTGTCAAGCACATCTCTGGCATCATCGCTTTCTCAGTGTCTGTCACAACACGTTAATGTCACTAGGTGGCAGTAGCGGATTAAAAGTCAGCAGCTACTGGGAGGCGAGAGACTCTTATGCAGCTGTGGTTTTTTCACTGTGTGGACTGGCGATACCGAGGGGGTTAGTCTCGATCCGATACCACGTGATACCGATACCAACGGCGGTACTTTCGAATGCAAAAAGTGTAATTCTTTCTGATTTATGACAATAAATGACAGTAAAATATGGACATAAAATGTATTTTAAAGCTTTTGACATCGTTTGGCTTCGTTTACTGAACCACAATTAGTTCAGACTGCAGCCATAAAGCTCAAACTAAACACTGAGAACCTGTGATTTTGGCGTGATGGAATACTTTTTCATCGAGAGCCACAACAAATGCGTGAGCCTTATATTTCAAAAGAGTGTTATGATTTTAACATCAATAGACAAGAAACAAAGTATGGATGTTACAGTAAAAACAGTTTATTTGATATGTAAATAACATGATCTAACAAAGGGGAAAAATGTATAGATTTATGTTTAATTTGTCTAACATTATTTTTTGAACACTTCTAATATATTGGACAGGTTTTATTGTTACTCCTAAACAATTTAATTACGGGTTAAATGTTTATTTTATGTTCAAATTGCTCTTAGCAATCCAGCAATAAAAGAAGCCTTGTGCATTGATAAGAAACGCAGTGATAAGAAACGCGGTAACTCACAGAAAGCTCAGATTCTATGTGCTGATATTTTGAGAGCTTATATACTGAATTATTTTTGAATAATATTTTGGCCCTCAGGTACTTTGACATGGTCCAGTCTGGCCCTCTTTGAAAAAAAGTTTGGACACACCAGCTCTGGGATGAAGTAGCTGACTTTCACTGACTTACCAGTTTATTTGGTTTATTTATGAGGCCTTTTTATTTATTATGTCTAGTTTATTTATTATGTCTAGTTTATTTATTTGCCTTGTAACTACACTAACTGGCTATTTTCTCAGAAACACTTACCATACAAGAACACTTTGTAGGTTTATAATTACTGACTGTAACCCATCTGTTGCTGCAATTTATCAGCCACCTACGATCCCATCCATCAGTGGAAAGAGGACCACCACTGACCACATATGACCATTCTAAGAATAGCAGTGACACTGACATAGTAGTGTCATGTTAGTGTGTATAGTGCTGGTATGAGTGTATCAGACACATCAGCTGTGATTTTTACACAATCTGAACACTTACTGCCCACTTTACTAGACAAACAGGCCTTGTTAGTCCACCTTGTAGGTGTACAGTTAGAGAGCTCATGTTTTTCCATCCACAATTTGTGTCTAGCCCTTCATGAGTGATTAATGTCTGACCACAGAACTGTACCACAGTTACTGTAAACCTGCAAAGTGCAGCTATATGGTAGATGTTTCTGATAAAATGGTCAATGATTGTGGCTACAAGGTGCCTAATAAGCTGGCATATCGGCATATCTAAGCATTTATGGAGACAAATATTATGTTTCTTTTTTTTTTTTACTTTCGTCTACTGCAACATGGTGAATATCATAGCCCATAATCTTCACAGTCAGACCAAATGATAACGCACAGGCACATTTTGTCCCTCAAGTTACAAATAATATAAATGCAAACTCAAAGGTACAAGAATGTCCTTGAGGTCCAATTGTGTTCCCTAAATGAATTTTAAAGGCACATTACATTCCCTTTCTCAGTTGTAAAAAGTGCTTTACAAATACACTATATGGCCAAAAGTATGGCCATCACACCTATATGAGCTTATTGGACATCCCATTACAGAACCATGGGCATTAATATGGAGTTGTCCCCCACTGTGGCTATAACAGCATCCACACACACACACACACACACACACACACACACACACATCATCTAAACCGCTTCTGGGTTGCGGTGGGGTGCTGGAGCCTATCCCAGCTATCACTGGGCAGAAGGCAGGATACACCCTGGACATATATATGTGTGTGTGTGTGTGTATGTTCTTTTCTTTAGCTTTTATTATACAGATTGTTTTGATGCTTTCACAATACAAAGCTGTATTTGTAGCTTCTGAAAGCAAATGTAAATATTTATAAACAACCCTTTATGGTACATTTATTAATTTATTATGCTTTGTTGCATCGCTAGATTTCTTTATATGTTGTAATCACATAGTTATAACTGTCTGAAAAACATTAGATTTTGGAGTGTGTCTGTGGGAATTTGTGACCATTCAGTCCAAATGGACATCTGTGAGGTCAGGCACTGATTTTGGACGAGAAGACCTGGCTCACAATTTACGTTCCAGCTCATCCCAAAGGTGTTCAGTGGGGTTGAGGTCAGGGCTCTGTGCAAGCCACTGGAGTTCCTCCACACCAAACTCGGCAAACCATGTCTTTATGGACATCGCTTTGTGCACAGGGGCTCAGTCATGATCTTAGGCTTGATGCACCTGCTTGACCATGGAAACCTATGTCATGAAGCACCCAATGAGTAGTTTTTGTGCTGATGTCGCTTCCAAAGGCAGACTGGAACTTTTTTGTGAGGCCTACCACTGCATGGCTGTCGTTGCTCCTAGATACTTCCATTTCATAATAACAGCACTTACAGTTGACTGGGGCAGATCTAGCAGGCCAGAGGTTTTACAAACTGACTTGAAGAAAAAGTGGCCGTGCTGTTTTAAAGTCAATAAGCTCTTCAGTATGACGTATTCTACTGTCAATGTTTGTCTACAGAGGTTGCATGGCTATGCTTGATTTTATACACCTGTAAGCAATAGGTGTGGCTGAAACACATGAACTCAATAATTAGGAGGGGTGTCCACATACCTTTGGTCATACAGTGTACATGTTTATGTTCTCTAACTACACTTACTCCCGAGTGTACCACCTCAGAGACAAGCAACAGATTATGGAAGGGACAGTTAAGTGTCTTTCTCTGAGCGTTGGCTTGAAGAATGTTTTCCATTGATTTATCTTTCATTTGTCCAACCATGTGTGCAAATGATGCTTATTTTGTGACAGTGAGTAAATGAGACACTGCTGGGTGCCTTCTGAGTAATTACTTGTTGATCTGAATGTAAATGTGTGCATGTGTTTATGTCACACAAACGCATTTCAGAGAAATCGATGTGAATGCCATCATGTTTCAGTGTGGCATTTCATTACCTTTTCCCCACTGTGACAACAGGTGAAACATGAGCTTAGAGCATTTTATTGTGCAGTTTATCTTTATTGGAAAATTAAACACACTTTCTGTATAAATAACATGGCTGTGTACAATGTGATTCATTAAACTGTACAAGAGGCAGGCAAACTGACAGGTAGGCAAACCAAGGCAGGGTGTGATACAGTAGGATAAAAAAAAAAAATGATGGAAAATATTAACACCATAGTTGTACATTGTGAATGGGTTTTGCATCTGGGTCGGTCATGATTCATTACCATAATGTATTCTAAATGCACCACAAGTGTCTTTTCAGGTTGCATCTACAGATTTTAAGAGAACATTCTGTATATTGGAGTCAACATCTTTATAATTCAGCTCTTCGGTTACCAACATTGCATGGCAATTAACTAAATTCAATTCAGGCTGCAATCAGGGGTCACCAACCCATGTTCTGGATATCTGTCTTCCTGCCTAGTCTAGTTCCAACCACAATCTACTCTGCCTGCTACAACTAATTAACTTCTTAAAAAGCCCTTAATTGGCTCGATCTGATGCATTAGTGTTAGGTAAAGTGGGAGCAGCATGTTTCTCTGTGGGATAGTAGATCTCCAGGAGAAGAATTAGTGACCCCTTCTCTACACAATGGGCATGAAAAGGCCCTACATTCTTAAAAATAACCATGCACAAAAAGAGTCTTTGGAACAGTGCAATAGAAGAACCTTTCAAACTGATGGTTCTTCAATTGAAAGGTTCTTCAGGAAACCACAAGTGGTTCTTCCATGGCATCGCTCCAAAGAATCCTTTTCGGCACCTTATTTTTAAAGGATTGGGTTCGCGAAAACGTACACATTTCTCCCCTCATCCCAGATGTAGTTGATCAGCCATGTTTGCTTTTTTAGTTTAAAAATAGAGCTATGAATCTAACACTGCTAACAACCACAGGCTGATTTCCAAATGGCTCTGTAATCCATAAATAGTGTGTTATGAAAGTTTAGAAATTCTGGCCTCCACAGCCAAATAGTGCATCATTTGTCGAGTATGGATGTGGCATTTGTGGAGTCCCGAATGACTATTTCTTATCTATATTTTGCACCGTTGGCGTGCAGAATCTAGTATTTAATTTCCTACGTAGTGCACTATGTAGGGAGCAGCCATTTGAGATTCAGTCCCAGCATGAGAAGAGGGGGCAGCTGGAGTGGTGCTAAATAAGGTGGTAATTTTGTGACCAAAAAGTGCTTATAAAGCGAAAGTTTTTGCATTAAACAGTGCTGTGTTATCATACGTTCCTTGTTATATGACAAAAGTTTAAAAAAATCATGAAATGACCACAATATACAGTGATGGGTGACCGAATGTTCTTCTCATTAAGCAGTCCGTGGCTGCTTGGCAAAACATTGGAAAAACATTCCTTGGCGGAATACTTGTTTATGTCGATTATTATTATTAATAACAAATTATTTTCTGAAAAATTGTTTATCATATTTTATCTTAGCCGCTGTTGTAGATCCACTTCGTGTTGTGCCTAGGACACCCTTCCCGTGATACAATCGCAGTAACGCACAGCCTCCAGTGGTATAATGCTTTTTTATTTCACAGAGCAGCTGAACAGAGTAGCCACTGTCTCAGAATCCGACTCCCTTTCTTTGCGTACATGTACATCATGCAGACAAATGGACGCTGGATTGCAATTGCGATTTCCCCTCTCTCTAATTTTAAACATGCCTTCAGTTTGAAACTTCAAGAGTAACTGCTATAAAAAGAAACAACAGAAGTCACAGAATCTGCAGCATCCATATGCCTGCCTGCACAAAGTGGAGTAAGATTTTGGCACAACACCTGTTGTCTGCAGTGCCTGCTCCCAGCGTTCAGCTGCACAGTGATGTTTTGTTCATTTTTACAGCTCACAGTAAAGTGTAGGCCTATTGTGCTCTAAACCACATCATTAAGTCTTAATGACGACCTGGATGTGGTTTGAGTGGGTTGATAGAATTTTGGGGATGTATTTATGGAAAAGATTTGGGTGACTACTGACTGTAGTGTTTGTTATCAACGTTAGCTTTGTAGCTCCAGTGCTCAACAAAAGAAGCAAAGTATGGACACCAAACATGTTTTGACTGATTACTGATCTACTGATTTACTGATCTACTATACCTGGAGGAAGTGGAAAATTGTATAAATGAAATTTTTCATCAAATCATTCCTTTAATAATGTAACACACAGGCATTAAAATCATGGGAAACAAACGCAGCACTAGTGCTACTTGAGTTTTAACACCTGATTCAACTCACTGAGGGCTTGATACTAGCAGATGTGCTGAGTCGTTTGTGTTAAAAGATGGAAAAAGTGCGCAGTGGCCTCCAAGTGCAGAGTGCGACAGTCCTACCTAGAATATAGGGAGCATTTAAACTGGGGATGTGAGCACGGATTGCTTTTGAAGGAGACTGAGAGCATCAGGAAATTGCATTAGACTGTGATCAGTAACGTGAATCTGTTTGGAGATCTGTGTGTGTGTAGGTCAGTGCGGTCAGACGGTCTCTGTTGTTTGATCTTAGATTTCATTTGCGCTGTACAAAGACACACATCAGTGCTTCCACGCATGTGGCTCGCACAGCTGGCCTGTGTTTGAAGGCTTGTGTCGTGTAGATGCCCAGAGAAAAAAAGAGCCACCTCTCTCCTTTGTGGTAATGCTTCAGAAATACCAGCGTTTCCAAACTCTGCACCACTGTGCATTCAGGCACATCCACGGAATGCTAAGCAGCAGTGGGGCTGACACTGAGGAGTTGTGTTGACAGTGAAAAGAATGGATCACTCCTAATGCTGTCAAGCAGGTGGATGCAGGGCTGAGATTACAATGAGGAAAAGTAACAATAGTCAAAGCGCAGCTGGTTTCAGCCCATTTATGAAAAATGCACATAAAAAATTGAACACCAGAGCATTACGTAAAGAAACATAGCGGGCAAAGGTTTGATTTGAAACGCTACCGAGGGAGCTGATTGTAACTTTGCTTAAAGGGGAATTCCATCGATTTTTCAAAACTGTGTGAAGAAATGTACACTAAATCATTCAGAGTGGCTTGGTGTGAAATGCTCTCTTCTAGACGAGGGTGTTGCTAAGCCAGAATTGTTCACAGTGGTGGTGACAGTAACTAGACACCTGAAGAGTTTAATGACTAAAGGCTACATCACAGAAATCTCTAACATGAAATGGTTATGAATACGCTGCCTGATGCCTGAAACATTGTTTTAGTTATGGTAAGAGAGACACAGAGGGTGTCATAAGAAAAAAAATCCCCAAAGAAAACCACCATTTCACCATCGTCAACATTACATATAAACTCTGAAGACGTGTGTAGGTTCACTGGTTGTCTCTAATAGCAAATATTTGATAGCTATATTTGTGTTGTACACATTGTGACCCCTGGTTCCCATCACCACCACTGTAAAGAAATCAGAGTCAGTAT